TAAAATTGATGTGCGTGAATATTTTCAATGTCGATTCACCAAATTGCATGCAATAGATTTTTTTTTTAATTGTAGATATAAATACCTTTGAAAAACTCTGGCCATTCTGTAGAGTGTCACCGGAACCATCGTCAATTTGCTTCCTGTTAATTTACGGTTTGCTTCCTATATAAATATTCGAGTGTGATTTATTACATTTATCCAAAAACATCAGCAACCAGGAACATCTCTTTTGCACTTGTCACATCGGCGGCCATTTTGCTGCGATAAATATGAAACTCTACATTACCGACGCCTGAAGAAAATTATCAACGGTCGATAAGTATAATTTAATTCAAAATTTACACACCAAGAAGATATGTCGCTGCGAAAACAACACCGAGGACGAGGGCTTGGTGGCCAAAAGACTAAATTGCCATTTCGCTAAATTAAAATTTTACACAGTAAAAGGTTAGGTTCGAAACACTCAGTCGGTAAAACAGTTTTGCTGTGCGTGGTTTAGCAACATGGAAATTTAGCCTTTTGGCCACCAAGCGAGGACCGAGTGGGACCGAGCTTTAGACAAGTGCAGACAAGTGCAGACAATCGTCCATCCAAGAAGAAAATACAGGACCCGGTTTACAGTCCCACTGCTCAATACACTTGTGGCTTGAAGCGAAGTTAAAATCAAATAATGCAATTATTGCAGTGACGATGTTTCCGGACAGTTTCACTGGGTAAGTCCCTTTCATAATTTATTCTTCTCTCAATGGAACAAATTATCGGTTCTTTATTATTCAATTATGTAAAATGAAATTCTACTTTGCTTTGATAAATCAATTATTGCAAAGTACTGTAGGATAATTTTTAATCCTCGGACACTTTCGATTTCAGTGAATGCAATAAGTTTAAAAGTGAAATTGAATTTTACTGATTACTTTTTCTTATCCTCCCTTTTCCATATAAATATAATATGAATTCATCAAAGAGTACCTGAATAATTGGAAAAATTAGTTTATAAATAGTATTGCTAATAATTACACTTTTTTTTACTTTAAAGTTGCCACAGGTCAGGGAATTTAGGGAAAGTAGAATTGGTCAAGGAAATCAGGGGATAGTCGCAGGGATTTTTATTAAAAGTACTGGAAAAAATTAAATATTTACAATTTATAAAAAAATTCTTAATTTTTGTGTCTTTATTGCTTGCTTCAAAAAAACCTTCAATTTTTTCTACTTCCGACAATAATTTATTAAATAACTTAATTCCATTGTTGAACTGTCATAAAGTTATTACTAATAAATTATTTAATGAAGTATTTTTTTGAAACATTTTAATTTCAATTATGTTGAAATTAGTTTCAATTTTAAAAGTTTTAACGCAAAATTCTTTGAAAAAATTTAAATATATCAAAATTCTTTCCAGAAAATAAATTATTTTAAATAAATAGGAAAAATAAATTAATAAAATTTTCCAAAAGAATCAAATTATTAAACAAAAATTTTGATAAAATTCTACACAAACATTAAATTATTTTCTAAAAAAATAAAAAATTTCACATGAATTCAATTATTTAAAATAGAATTTGCATAAATTTTTTCAAAAAAAAAATCAAATGTTTAAAAATTTGGCAGTAAATTCTTCGCAGTAATTCATTTTGTATTTTCATAAATTTTTAAATTTCTTTCAGGGATTTAATATTTTTATAAATAGTAAAATCCAGAGTGTCTACTAACCGGAAAATTCGGGAAAAACCGGGAATAAGCCATGAATTTTATTCTAAATCGGGAATTTTTGACCAAATTAAAAAAAGTTTTATTTACTTAATTTGTTTTTAAAAAATCGCTTTTTATTTTAATTTTTATAGATATTTATACTATTTTCTAAATTTGAATTATATAGTTAAAAATAATTAATTTGACAGTAAAAAATCAGTCACTGATTCAAATATAGTAAGTAAATAAATTTTTAAAAAATTATCGAATTAATAAAAATTTTGTAAAATTCAATTGAAAATAATTAAATTTGTTAAAGAATTTCATTAAAAACTTTTTAACAAATCGAATTTTCAAAGTATTTTAATTTAATAATTGATAAATAATTGAATTTTATTAAAGAGTCACATTCTAATGTATTCATGTTTCTTAGTGCGAAGATTAATAATTCAGATTTTTATTAGTTAATTTAAAAATAGATACTGAAAGTTTTTTAATAAAATTGAATTTTCGCAAAGTTTTTTTTTGGAAATTTCTGAAAAATAAGATTTTCGAAATTTTTCGATTCTATTATTTCAAGATAATGGAATTTTTATAAACAAATAATTGAAAATTTTTTAAATAATTGAAATTTCTTTACATTCTATTAAAAATAATTAAATTCTTTTAAAGAATTTTATTTAAATTTTTCGAAAATAATCCAGGGAAGTTAGTCACTGTAATTATAATTTTATTTTTAAAAATTTCTTCGCAATATATTCAATTATTTTCATAAATAGTAAAACTTATTGCAGAATTTCAATTATTTTAAATATAATTTCATAATCAAATTCTTCGAAAAATGTAATTATTCTTAAAAATTTCATTAAAATTCGTCGAGAGAATTCAATTATTTCTAGAAACTGTAAAAAAATTCTTACCCAAGAATTCAATTATTTCCATAAATAGCAAAATTCTTCAGATTTACTAAATTCTTTTGAATATTATTTTTTTTTTAAATTCTTCACAAGAATTCAATTATTTTCATTAACTAGCCAAACTATCCGCGCGCAAGCGCGCGGGAATGTTGTATAGGGCTGCTTATTTTAAACAATTTAAAAAATTTTAAAGAAATAATTATTATAACCTAACAAAGAGATTTAACTAACTAAAATTCAAATAATTTCACTCAATGGTCTCAATTTAAATAGAATTTACATTACTAGACTTAAACTATGGCTAGAACAATTACAAGTAGTATCTGGGTCATTTTTTGCATTGCTTATTTTATAAAGCCATTTTAAATTAAATACTTTTTAAAGAAATAATAATTATTACACACTGAAAAAAGTTTTACTTGAAATAGCGATAAGTTTCTCTAGAATAACGAAAGTATTAATTGAAGCACTGAAAAATTTCGCTACTAAAGTAAAATCTGTAGTTCATCCAGCTAAATATTTTTTGCCGTGCATAACGAAAAAAGAATTAAATTAACATCAGATTTTCTACATTCAAAAAAAACGAATTCAAATAGAAATTAATCATTTTACAACTTAACCAAAATCACCCCAGAAATCCCTGAATTCGATAATTTAGAAGAAAGTCAGACAAAAGCAGGGTTCCTACAGAATCTGGAAATCATGGAAATCCTGGAAAAGGCCGGAAATTAAAAGTTTCTAAATTTTTCAGTTTTCCATTTTTTCTCTTGAATAGAAATTCAAATAATAATAAAGCTAAATGGCATAAAAGAGAAAAAAAAATGTTGAATTTTAAGAAATTCGATTTTTCGGATTTTTGATAATTTTTAATAATTTTTGATTTTTTACCAAAGAGTCGAGACAATTTAATAAGTAAAGTATTTTCCAAAAGCACAAAAATAATGAAGCTAAATCCCATAAAAGAGAAGAAAAAATGTTGAATTTTAAGAAAAACGGATTTTTGAAATTTTTCGAATTTTTGATAATTTTAGATTTTTTACCAAAGAGTCGAGACAATTTAATAAGTAAAGTATTTTCCAAAAGCACAAAAATAATGAAGCTAAATCCCATAAAAAAGAGGAAAAAATGTTGAATTTTAAGAAAAACGGATTTTTGAAATTTTTCGAATTTTTGATAATTTTAGATTTTTTACCAAAGAGTCGAGACAATTTAATAAGTAAAGTATTTTCCAAAAGCACAAAAATAATGAAGCTAAATCCCATAAAAAAGAGGAAAAAATGTTGAATTTTAAGAAAATCGGATTTTTGAATTTTTGATAATTTTCGATAATTTTAAATTTTTTGCCAAAGAGTCGAGACAATTTAATAAGTAAAGTATTTTCTAAAAGCACAAAAATAATGAAGCTAAATCCCATAAAAAAGAGGAAAAAATGTTGAATTTTAAGAAAAACGGATTTTTGAAATTTTTCGAATTTTTGATAATTTTAGATTTTTTACCAAAGAGTCGAGACAATTTAATAAGTAAAGTATTTTTCACATTAAAAAGTTTGACATTAAAAAATATATAAAAAATGCCAATACTCAACCCACAAAATTTAATTTTCAAAACAAACAAATGAATGGAGATAATTTGCTAACGGAAAGGAAACTTACGATTATTATAATGTATTATTTAAAAATTTGTTGATAAAATTCTTTATAATTAAATTTTAAAAAACATCGAATTATTCAATAATTTTTTTTTTTTGTATTCAAATAATTGAATTCTTGTAGAAGTTTCTAATAAAAATTGATTTGAAAATGAATTTTAGTTAATAATTGAATTTTTAAAAGGTTTGTAATTTAAAGGTTTTATACAAATTTAAAAGGTTTTAAATTTTTAAAATGATTGTAAATTTGAATTTTTTAACTAACAATTCTGTAGAATTAATTTTTTTTAAAAAAGTTTATTTGCATTTTTTTCAAAATTATTTAAAGTTTTTATTTTCTAATAATATATATTTTGTTAAAGAATTTCCGAATAATTGCAATTTCGTAAAATTGAATAATAAACAAATGGATTTGAAAATTTTCAAAAAATTATTTAATTTAAAGAAGAATTTTAATTAAAATTTCTAGAAAATCGTAATTGAATTGAATTTATTAGTATTTAATCATTTTGAGAGTGAATTAGAATTTATTCTTTAAGGTCAGGGAAAGAGTTAAAATTTTGTCTCAAAATCAGGGGGAAAAAAATTAAATTTTTGTGACAACCGAACCCTGAAATTGTTTTCCGAAAAAAATCTGATTTAATTAAATTAAAAATTTAAAATATAATTTTATAAAATGTAATTTTTAAAGTTAACAACTGAGGGGTTAGGACATATAAGAAAATCTACTCTTAGCCATCAAATCACATTTTACACAAATTTTATTTTTAAAAAATAATAATACTGTTTATTATGACATATATGATGCTGGATATTGAAGACACATTTTTGGTAAACAAAATTTCAATTCTCTTATACAATAACATAATATTGTACACTATTCAAGAAGATACATATTTTTGAAAAATTTTTAAATCATATTTTTAAAGCAACACAAAACTTTGTCAACTTAAAATAAAAAAAGTCATGAAACATAAAGAGATTTTGTCTTTATTTTCTGTTAAAACTTCTAAGTTCTAAACTTGTAAAAAATATGAAAATATTCGGTAAGAAAAGCATGAAAATACAGTAGTAGTCTTTTTATAAGCCAGCTTTTGTTAAAATATTGTTTACGGTTATGGATTCGATTCCCTGTACTCCCAGAATGCGTTGCGCATGTTTGCCAAAAACAATTACGCATAACAATATTAACTGGTGACGAAAATCTTTGTCGAACTCTATATTGAAAACCCAGTATGTTGCTAATAGTAATAGAATAATATCTGTAGGTTTCTCGACAAAAAGAGGCTCATCATCGACATAACATCTTATAGTCTCAGTATTGTCCTCGAAGATGACAATGTAAGGAGCTTTACTTGTTTTTGGATCAGCGGAAATACTCTGCTTATCAGATTCCTAAAAAAAAAGTTAAAAAGAAAATTATTCAAAATTTAAATTCAGCACAAGTTGAAATAATAATTTTTATATTTTAATTTTCACAGGTTTAGCACTCATCTACTAAAACTTACTAATAACTACTTTTTTTACGATTTGCTACTATTTGAATACTTTTTTATATTCGTTACACTAAAAACTACTTTTTTCCATATTTGAAAATTAACACTACACATTAAATTTGTTAACAGTTAAAATAAAAAATTTATTTAAAAAAATTTTAATAAAGTCAATGGAAACAAATTCAAAAAATTTTAATAAAATTCTTTAAAACGATTCAATTATTTTTACAAATTTTTTGTGATTCAATGATTTTTAATTTCTACTATTTTAATAAAAAAATTTCCAAAAGAATTGAATAATTTAAAAAAAAATGTTAATAAAATTCTTCGCAAACATTCAATTATCAGGGTGTCTAACGGTCAGGGAAGTCATGGAAAAGTCAGGGAATTTTTTTGGTCAGGGAAAAGTCAGGGAATGTCAGAGAATTTCATTCAAAGTCAGGGAATTTTCTATAAATTTATAAAAAAATCAAAATTTTTTGATAATTAAAAATTTTTTTACTCTAACAAAGCTTCAAAAAATTTTATTACCATTTATTTCTATCATTAGATACTAATTTATTGTTAAATATGTCAGTTACCATATTTTTGGCCCAAGAAAGCAAAAATAAAATTAGAAAAAAGTCAGGGAAAAGTCAGGGAATTTTTTTCTCAATCCTTGTTAGACACCCTGATTATTTTCATAAATAAAAAAATTTTTACATGAATTCAATTATTCAAAACAGAATTTTCCTAATATTTTTCGAAAAAAATCAATTTTTTAATAATAGATTTTTATAAAATTCTACTCAGGAATTCAATTATTTTTTAAAATTTTAATAATAATCGTACGTTGCAAGAATTCAATTATTTTTATAAATATTGAAACTCATCGCAGGATTTCAATTATTTTTAATACAATTTTAAATTAATTCCTCGAAAAATGGAACTATTCTTAAAAATTTTAATAAAACTCGCTTTAAAAAAATTGAATTATTTTTAAAAAAATTTTAATGAAATTCTTTATACCTAAGAATTGAATTGTTTTCAATATAATTTTTATAATATTTTTTGAGAGAAATCATTTCTTTAAAAAAAATTTTTTTTAATTCTTCTCAAAAATGCAATTATTCAAAAAAGTTTATTAAAGTTCGGCGACAACAATTCAATTATTTTCATAAATAATAAAACTCATAGCAGGATTTCAATTATTTTTAATATAATTTTAAATTAATCCCGCTAAAACAGCAATTATTCTTAAACATTTGAATAAAATTCTTCGAAAAAATTCAATTATTAAAAAAATTTGTTGTTTGCTTTTTTGTTACTTAAGATTTTTAATAATTTTTATTTTTAAATATTTTCAATTTTAAAATTAATGTATTAAAAATATCGAATAGTTGTAAAGAATTTTATTAAAAAGTTTTATAATAATAGAATTCCTTCGAAGAATTTTCTTATTTAGGGAAATAATTGAATTCTCATGAAGAATATTGTTAAATTTTTAGAAAATTCTAATTAAATTCGTTTTGATGAGTTTCTTGGAATTTTTTTTTAATAATGGAGTTTCCTTAAAAAATTTTTTAAAATAATTGAATTTTATGAACAATTTCTTTCAAGTTTTTAAAATGGTTGTGTTTGTTAATAATAGAAATTCGAAAAATAATTGAATTCTCATGAAGAATTTTGTTAAATTTTTTGAAAATTCTAATTAAATTCGTTTTGATGAATTTCTTAAACATTTTTTTCAATAATGGAGTTTCTTTAAAAAATTTTAAAATATTGAATTTTATGAAGAATTTCTTTTCAAGTTTTTAAAATGATCGTGTTTGTTAATAATTGAAATTAAACATTTAATTATTGAATTTTATTAGAAGTTTAGAAAATTCTAATTAAATTCATTTTGATGAATTTCTTTAAATTTTTTTTTCAATAATGGAGTTTCTTTAAAAAAATTTTAAAATAATTGAATTTTATGAACAATTTCTTTCAAACTTTTAAAATGATCGTGTTTGTAATAAATGGAATTAAACATTTAATTATTGAATTTTATTAAAATTTTAGTAAATAATTGAATTCTTTTAAATAATTTAGATACACTCCAAAATTTTATTAATTAATTAAAAAAAATGTAATTCTTTCGTGAAATTTTTTTGAAAATAAATGAATTTTTGTAAAGATTTTATAACGAATTAGTAAGAAAACAATTAGATTTTTTCGTGAAATTGTTTTGAATATAATTGAATTTTTTCGAAAGATTTAATAAAGTTTTAGAAAATAATTGAATACTTTTGAAATATTTTATAACGAATTAAGAAAAAAATTGAATTCTTTCGTGAAATTTTTTTTTAAAGTAATTGAAATTTTGCAAAGATTTTACTATTTAAAAAAATAATTGAATTGTTTCGAAGGATTTATTAAAATTTTAAAAAATAATTGTATTCGTTCGTGAAATTTTATTAAAACTTTGTTTAAAAATAATTGAATTTTTGCAAAAAATTTTATTATTTATAAAAATAATTGAATTCTTACGAAGAACGTTATTATTTATAAAAATAATTGAATTCTTGCGAAGAATTTTATTAACATTTTTGAAATTAATAAACGAGAATAATTAGTTAATAATAATTAGTTATTAATTAGTTAATAATTGAATCTTTTAAAGTTTGATTTTGTATTATTCAAAAATAAAAAATTTTGTAATTTTGCATAATAATAATTAGAATATCACGTTCCGCGCGTAACATTTGCTAGTTTTATTTATAAATTTCAAGAAAAAAATGATTTAGTTTTGAAAGAATTACATTTGTAATTTTTAGAGATAGTTAAATTTAAAAAATGTGTTACATTGAAATCATTTGAAATATTTTAATTCCTATAGACAAAATAAATCCTAGGTATTTAATTATTTATTTTGAAAAATTATTCTATTTTTGAATGTAATTAAAAATGTATTTATATAAAAAATTATATAAAAAAAATTGAGTGAAGTTTAATTTCTCGACAGCAACTTTTTTACTACTTTTTCTGTCTTTAAGCTACTTTTTTAAAATTAATAATCGAGTGTACGAGAAGCCTGTTTTGATATTAAAAATAACTTGATATTAAAAATATAGATAAATAAGTTTTTTCTGATCAAATTATAATAGAAGTTAGATTTTTTTAGTACGCTTTATTTTTATTTTACATACCTTAAGGATTTCAACGATTTTCCTCCGGGTAGATTTTTTTTTCCCAGCTGCAAAGAAGCAATCAATTTTTTTCAAAAACTTGATACCGTTACTAGAATCGTCATTATCTTTTGGAAGGATTGCTAACAATTTTGGCAGAGCATTTACTAAATTTTGTTTCATTAAAGTTTCTGACAAGTTGACTATTTGGCCGAATTCCCAAAGAAGCTATGGAAAAAAAGTTTCTTTTTAGATAAAAAATCAACGACTATGAAACATAAACTATTATTTAATTGTTTTACTCACAATTTCAGTTTCCATTAGAATTGGATACTTTTTCAGCATTTGCTTTACCGTTTCAGCTTTGGCCTCACGCGCTCTTTGTTTTCGAGTTTTTTCAAGTAACTTCTTCATTTTACTGACATCAATAGGAGTTTTTCCGGATTCTTTAGCTAATATCTCCAAAATCATTTCTAAAGTTTGCTCCTCAAAGTCGCTCGAATCTTCATTCATATTTTTACCCTCATTTACATTAGTTCCTGATTTTGTTCGTCTCCTCTTATTCTTAAAAAAATTTTTTAAGCGCATTTCTAATCTTCTCTGAAAATAAATTTAGAAAATATTTATTAATACCCAGTTTTATCAAATGAATTTTTATTCTAAAGATGTACATTTATTCAAGTTCAGGCCTCGGATAGAAAAAAGATTAGCTTAAAAATACAAAAAAGTTGTTTATTTAATTCAGTGTTGTCACAAAAATTTTATTTACAATTTCCCTGACATTTCACTGATTTCTAAATTCAATTTTTCAAAACTTAAATAATTTTACTAAATATCTCAATATTTAAACTAATATATTTGATTTTTCATTCGAAATAAAATGGAATGGATTAATTTCTTTAATTTTTTCTTAATTCGTTATAAAAACGAATAAAAACATTCTTCGAAAGAATTCAATTATTTTTATGAATATAGTAAATTTTTTTCCAAAATTCAATTATTTTCAACAAAATTTTAATAACATTTTACGAAAGAATTCAATTATTTAAAAAAATTTTAATAAATAATTCGAAACAATTAAATTTATTTTTTAAATAGTAAAGTCTTTGCAAAAATTCAATTATTTTCAATAAAACTTCACGAGAGAATTTCATTTTTTTCTTAATTTGTCATAACCTTTTTTAAAAGAATTCAATTATTTTTAAATAATTTTAAAAAATTCTTTACAAGAATTGAATTATGTTTTATAAATAATGAAACTCATCATACGAATTCAATCATTTTTAATACAATTTTAATAAAATTTCATCAAAGAATTGAATTATGTAATGTTTTATAAATAATAAAACTCATCATACGAATTCGGTAATTTTTAATAAAAATTTCATGAAAGAATTCAATTTTTAAAAAATTTCTAATATTATTTCTCGAAGAAATTCAATTATTTTAAAAAATTGAAATAATTCTTCGAAACCATTCAATTTTTAAAAAAATTTTAATTAAAGTTGTCTAAAGAATCAAATTATTTTGTGTTTTAATAAAATTCCTTGAATGAATTAAATAATTTGAGAAAATTGTAATAACATTCTGAGAAGAATTTAATTATTTTCTAAAAATTTTAATAAAATTCAATAAAGAAATGTTTAATTTCAATTATTAAAAAACACGATTATTTTAAAAACATGAATGAAATTCTTCATAAAATTCAATTATCTACTTTTAAATTGTTCAATTAAAATTATTTAAAAAAGTTCATTATGTCTTTAAACAAAATTGAAAGAAAATCTTCAAAAGAATTTAATTAGGGTTTTTAAAAATTTTAATAAAATTCTTTCCAAACTTTCAATTATTTTCGTAAATTATAAATTCTTCGAAGAAATTCAATTATTTTCAAATTTTTTCATAATATTCTTTGCAAGAATTCAATGATTTCAAATACATTAATTTTCAAATTGAAAATATTTGAAAAGAAAAATTTTTTTAAAAAAGGTTATAAAACAAAAAAGCAAACAACAACTAATTTCAAACTGTAAACAGATTTTCGAAATACTATTCATATTGAAGATAATTTTTAAAAAATTCAATATAATTTTTTGTATTAGAATTTTCAAAAATATTCAATTAAAAATATTGAAAATAATTGATTTTTAAAAAATTAGAATGAAAAAAATTCAGTGATTAACTTTTTTAAAAAATATTTTAATATAATTTTTAGAAGCTAATTTTCATTATATTTTCATTTTGAAATATACACTTGAAAATTCTTCATTAAAATTTTCGAGAATTCAATTATTTCCAAAATTTTCAATTAAAATTTTTTAAAAATTAATTTTAAAAAAATTGTAATAAAATACTTGAAAAAATGATTTATTTTCAATTAAATTTTACGAAATTTCAATTATTCAAAATCTTTTGAATTGTATATTTTGAAAATTTAATTAGTAAAATTATTCAAAAATAATTTTTGAAAGATTTGACTATAGTTATTTTTCACAGTATAAAAATCGAAATAAATTGCATTTTATGCTAAAAATGTGGTATTTTGTTGCAATATTTGGAAAAAAAAGTCGAAACTTACGTGAGGTATTCCGTTTTTTCCTTGAAGGCCCGGAAATCTATTGCTTGCGATAATTGCTGCTTGTAGAATGTCACATGAAGTGGTTCTTCTAGCATCAATTAATTTGTTAGCGATTAGTCTAACAATTCTACAATATTTAACCTTTTCGATTTCTCTGCTTTGGAATGCTTCTCCCATTATGTCATCATGATAATCGTCATTCAAATTGTAAGGAATTATATCCTCAATGCTTATCTGTTAATAAAAAATAACAATATTTTCACTTACAAACATAATACTTCTTTCTAACACGTGAACTCGGTATTTATAAATAAAATATTAGACATACAATAATTATATAAATTTATACGAAATTTAAAAACACTTCTATTTTTTTGAAAAGTTTATCTAGTTTTACAATTAATATTACAAATAAAAAAGAAACAAAGTACTTTTAAACAATTTTTTTTACTTAAAATTGTCACCCCAAGGGTAAATTTAAAATCACTGTAAACTTTTAAAAATTAACATATATAATTTAAATTGATTTACCATTTGACGTGGGATTTCTTCTGGAAAACTGGAATGATCGTTCTCATAATATTCTATAATAAGGAGAAAACAATTTAATTCTATTAATAGCAAACAAAAAAATTACATGTTAATAAATTGTTTACAAAGAATCAATTTTAAAATTTTCGAAAAGATGAGTAAACTTGTACATTACCTTCTTCGGATTTTATTGACGAGTTTGATTGATATTCATTTTGAGTATCAGCTGCTGTGCTCTCATCTTTTTTTTCATTAGTTCTTTCTTCTCCTTCTTTTGAATCTTCGAAAAAAATTATTTCCACTTCCGCCTGTCGAATATCTTTGGCAGAGATGTCCAAATTTGAACGAGAATTATCATTGGAAGTGTTCTGATCTTCTAAAAATTATGTTTACTTTTTTAATTGGCGATTTATTTTTATTAAATAGAAATTAAAATTTTTCTATTGCAATTAAAGGTCCCGATCAGAGAAACGGTTATAATTTTTTCAAGCTAAAAATCTCAGGGCTCGAACTAGATCCGTAAATCCCGTAAAAGTCTCTTTTGCTTGAAATCCGTAAAAATCAGTTTCTTCGAAAAAAAGGTCCGTAAAGTCTGTAATTTGATTGAGAGAACACGAAAAGTTCGTAAATTGTACGATATAATTTGGAGAATTTTAGAGAAATTACAAATGATTGCAGAAATTCAATTATTTTCAAAAGTAATAAAATTTTTCGCAGAAATTCAATTATGTTTAAAAACTTTTTTTAAATTCTCGTTAAAATTTCAATTATCTTTAGAAATAATTAAATTCTTCACCAAAATTCAATTATTTTCAAAAATTTTAATACAATCCTTGGAAATCATTCAATTATTTTCATAAATAATAAAATTCTTGTCAGAAATTCAATTCACAGTAAAACGAGAGGTGTTAGAATAACACCATGATGGATTAAAATAATCTGCAACAGTTTAATCCCTCTAGGATTAAATTAACACCAGAAAGGATTATAATAATCTATTTTGGTGTTATTTTTAACTATGAACGAAATTTTACTTTAAATAAAACACCAAAGTCAACGATTTGTAAAAATTCAACGAATTTAGCTTCTCCAGGGAGAATAGCCAGTTAGAAAGTTAGTTACTAACTTACAAACTAACTTAGTAACATAATTACTAAATTCAATTGTGTTCAAAAATTTTCGTCAAAATTTCAATTCTCTTTATAAATAATAAAATTCTTCTCTGATATTCAATTATTTTACAAAATTTTAATCAAATTCTTGTCAAAATTTCAATTATTTTTAAAAGTTTACTAAAATTCAATGATTTTCAATATCTACTATTTCAATAAAATTTTCCAAAAGAATTCCATTATTAAAAAAAATTTGAATAAAATTCTACGCAAACATTCAATTATTTTTATAAATATGTAATAAAATTTTTTAAAGGAATTCAATTATTTACAAATTTTTTTATAAATTTCTTCGCAATAATTCAATTATTTACATAAATAATAACATTTTTGCAGGGATTCAATTATTTTTATAAATAATAAAATTCTTTTAGAAATTCAATTATTTTCATAAATAATAAAACTCATTGCATAATTTAAATTATTTTTAATGCAATTTTAATCGAATTCGTCGAAAAATGTAATTATTCTTAAAAATTTTATTAAAATTCGTCCAAAGAATTTAATGATTTAAAAAATTTGTTGATAACATTTTTTATGAGAATTCAATTTCAAGAAACAATTTCAAGAATTAATTTCAAGAATTAATAAATTATTTATTTTTGAATTTAAATAATTGAATTCTCGTTGAATTTACTAAATAAAAATGGTTTTAAAAATGAATTTCAGTTAAAACTTTAGATTATAATTAAATATTAAAAGCATTATAACGTGGATTTTTAGAAATAATTAAATTTTGAAAAAGTTTCAAATTAAAATCATTGAAATTCTTAATTTTTCATATTTTTGACAAACAATTCTGTAGAATTAATTCTTTTTAAAAGTTTAATAGGATTTTTATTGAAATTATTTCAAGTTTTTATTATTCAATATATGTTTAATTGCATTTAAATAATTAAATTCTTGCAGAATTTTCTAATAAAAATTGATTTTCATTTCATAAAAATGAATTTCAGTTAAAATGTTAGATTATAACTGAATATTAAAAGCAATATAGCGTGAATTTATCTTTTAAAAATAAAATTATTATTATTTCTAAAATTTTTTAAAAAATCCTGTAAAAGAATTCAATTATTTTCATAAATAATAAAATTCTATGGAAAAAATCAATTATTTCAAAAAATTTTTTTAAAATTAACCTTAGCGCTACCAAAGATTTTTGTATACGCGGACTACCGGCTGGCCAAACGCTATTTTATTTTAATGTTCCCAAAACGATTAAAATTCATCAAACTCTTTGGATATAATTATGTGTTAATACAAATACTGTATTTTAATAATGTTTTATGAATATTGCAACATTTACTGAAACGAGTTATAAGTATTATTAAAAAATTATTTAAACAAATTATTGTTGTTATTTACCTATGGGGCCGTTCAAAAAATACATAACGCTTTAGGGGGGAGGGGGGTCAAGCTATTTGTTACGGTCAGCAGAAAAAATGGCGCTAATGTATACTACATTGCGTTACATTGGGGAGGGGGGGGGGGTCCAAATTTCCGAAAAATAGCGTTACGTATTTTTTAAACGGCCCCTATTTTTTCCAGAATACACCTAGAAAGTTGCAGTTTTTCCCTAATTTTGCAATTTACTAAATCTTATATGATTACAGATAAAGAATAAAAATTGAACTATTGTTTAAACAATTTTTAAACAAATTATTGTTGTTACTTACCAACTTTTTACAGAATGCTCCTAGAAAGTTACAGTTTTTTCCTAATTTTGCAATTTACTAAATTTTTTTTTATATGATTACAGATAAAGAATAAAAATTAAACTATTGTTTAAACAATTTTCAAACAAATTATTGTTGTTACTTACCAACTTTTTACAGAATGACCTGACAAGGTTGCATTTTTTTCCTAATTTACAAATTTTCGTAGTTTGTTAAAAAAATATCTTTTATTTTTTATACTTATATTAAAGAGCATTTAAACAATTTTGTTTTTTTAACAAATAAATATTTCTCATTTTTTACTTAGGTCACTTTAGTTTAACAATTTTCACACGTAGTTTGGTAAAGTTTAATACTGTGTACTGCACAAATAGGTTTCTTGCACTTTATGCAAATATTCCGCGTACTCCTTCTTCTCTTCTGCGTGATACACACATAGCACTTGCCCTTGTTTGTGATGCGGCCTGTTTTATCTCGCTCTTCGATTTCATAAGTTTCAGATCCCGTGGAAGTGTTTGCAACTGGTTCTCCTGTATTAGTAAAAATTTAAAGTTAAATTATTTCAAATTAATAAATTTGTTCTTCATGTATAATATTACAAACCTCACAGTTGTACTGTGCGCAACTTGATCATGTGTAATACATTTGAAAAATTTGAAAACACTGTATTAATTTATAAAATTACAGTGAGAATATTGTAAATAACAATTTGTTTAAAAATTGTTTAAATAATAATCAAATTTTTATTCTTTACCTGTAGTCATATAGAGTTTAGTAAATTGCAAAATTAGGAAAAAACTGCAACTTTCTAGGCGCATTCTGAAAAAAGTTGGTAAGTAACAACAATAATTTGTTTAAAAATTGTTTAAACAATAGTTCAATTTTTATTCTTTATCTGTAATCGAATAAGATTTAGTAAATTGCAAATTTAGAAAAACACTGCAATTTTCTAGGTGCATTCTGGAAAAAGTTTGTAAATAACAACAATAATTTGTTTAAACAAATAAAAAATGTATTGTAACATCAAAATATATTGTATTTATTAATATAAAACAATTTTACTGTATAAGTTTAATGATTTAATTTTTATTTTTTTGCAATATACAAAAAAAAACACCCGGTCAATTTTCAGTATTCTCGTACATACTTTTTTAATTGTTATAAATAAACAAGAAGAAATGTGAAAAAAAATTTATTTTTGTATTTTTCGAAAGTAGATAAAATTTTGTTGAGTGAGTTAAAATGGCGATTTGATTGATACAATAAAAGTCGAGCATATATACAATTACTTGGCCAGCCGATAGCGCGAAGGTTAAAAGAATTCAATTATTTTCATAACATAATAAAATTCTATGCAGAAATTCAATTATTTCTAAAAATTTTTCCTGAGAATTCAATTATCTGTATAAGAAACAAAATTCTTCACAGAAATTGAATTATTTCCAAAAAAATTTTATAAAATTCTTTCCAGGAATTCAATTATTTTCATGAATAATAAAATTCTTATCTGAAATTCAATTATTTTCAAAAAACTTTAAACAAATTATTGACAAAAATGAAATTATCTTTGTAAAAATAAAATTTATTGTAATAAAATAAAATAAAATAAAAATTAATTAATTATTAATTAATTAATTATTTATTTTTATTTTTTTTATAAAATTTTTTTTTTATTTAAATTATTTCCAAACATTTTAATAAAATTCTCAATTACTTTTATAAATAGTAAAATTCTTCAAAAAAATTGAATTATTTTCATAAATAATAAAATTCTTTGCAGAAATTCAATTATTTTCAAAAATGTTAACAAAATGATTCCCAACAATTGAATTATCATTTATAAAAAACAAAATTCTTCACAGAAATTCAATTTTTTCAATAAATAATAAAATTGAATATGAATTTAATTTTAAGAAACATGCAATTATTATTATAAAAAATTTAATTATTTTAAGTTTTTATCTTCTAATATATATTTAATATTAAAGCATTTACGAATAATTTAAATTTTGTATAATTGAATTTTAAGCAAGTGGATTTTAAAATTCGCAAAAAACTATTTTAAAAATTATTAGAAATGCATTATGCATTTATAGAAGAATTTTAGTTAAAAACATTAAAGACAATTGAATTTTGGAGAAGTCAAAATTTTAATCATCTTTATAAATAATAAAATTAATTTCCGAAATTCAAAAAATATTTTCAAAAATTTTAGTAAAATTTTTGGCTAAATTTCAATTGTTTTCAAAAATTTTCCAAAATAATCCAATTGTGTAAAAATAATTTTGATAAAATTCTATACGCAAACTATCTTATAATTTTCATAAATAATAAAAATTTCACAGGAATTCAATTATTTACAAATTTTTTATAAATGTTCTTTGCAATAATTCAATTATTTTCATAAAGTTAAGGAAATTTTTTACAGGGATTCAATTATTTTCATAAGTAATAAAATTCTTTTTAAGAATTCAATTATTTTCATAAATAATAAAATTCATTGCAAATTTTCAATTATTTTTAATACAATTTTAATCAAATTCGTCGAAAAATGTAATTATTCTTAAAAAAATTTATTAAAATTCGTCAAAAGAATTCAATTATTTAAAAATTTGATCATGAAATTTTTTATTCGAGAATTCAAATTTAAGAAAAATTCAATTATTCAATAAATTATTTATTTTTCTATTTAAATAATTTAATTCTCGTAGAAGTTTCTGTATAATAATAATTGATTTAAAAATGAATAAACTTCTTTGCAGAAATTCAATTATGTTCAAGAATTTAAAAAAATTCTCGTTAAAATTTCAATTATCTTAATAAGTAATAAAATTCATCTCCAAAATTCAATTATTTTCAAAAAATTTAATAAAATTCTTGGCTAAATTTCAATTATGTTCAAAAATTTTTTTAAATTATCTTTTAGGTAAGTAAAAAAGTTCAATTATTTTAAAAAATTTTAATACAATTGTCAAAATTTTAATTATTTAAAAAAAATTTTTTTATTTCAATGATTTTTAATGTCTAATATTTTAATAAAATTTTCTCAGACGAATTTAATTATTTAAAAAAAATGTTTGATAAAATTCTACGCAAACATTTAATTATTTTCATAAATAATAAAAATTTTAACAGGAATTCAATTATTTATTGTTGATAAAATTCTTCTTGGGAATTGAATTTTAAGAAACATTTAATTGTTCAATAAATTATTTATTTTTGTATTTTTACTTTTAGTAATTGAATTTTCGTATAATTAAATTAAAAATAATGGATTTAAAGAAGAAGTTTAGTTAAAAATTGTTGAAAATAATAATTGAATTGATAATGATTTTATCACTCGGTCGTCTTTAATTTTTTTTTATTGTAAAACATGAAGAAATCGATCACTCCGAGTCTTTGACTCGGAGTTATCGATATCTTCATGTTTTATAGTTATGGAAAATTTAATTTATAGTTTTTTATGTTCTCTTATTTGACTCGGACTGATTATATTTTTGTTAGTAATTTTCCCGTAAAGTCCGTATTTTTAAATACTCTCACTGGTTCGAGCCCTGAAATTGTCAAATGAATAAATAAAAAAATTTTTTTAAATTTTTAATTAATTAAAAATTAATTAAATTAAATTATCATTTTTGGTGGAACTGTTCCGTATTTTTCTTACTATCTAATACGAAATGCTGACAAGAAATAAAAGTCTTAAATTTCTTTTTAATTTAGAAGGGGAGAATTTTGAGTCTCAAAAAATTATAACCGGTTCTTTGATCGGGACCCTGAAAACATTTTATAGATAACACATTAAAATTACCTAATTTTCTGTGCTTTGTTGGGTAGCAACCACAATAGGCACAAGTCATTGTAGAAGCAACACCCGCTTGTAAGACATATTCATCGCATTCGCCACAAGAGCAGCTTCCGCGTTTAACGCCTCGGCAGTCGATGTTTGACATCATTTTGGTTTCTTAAAAAAATATTTCATTAAAATTTCATTTCGTTAAATAGAATATACATTAAGTGCGATTGACTAATATATAACACAGCGAATAAATAACTAATACCCGACAGTACATTTTTTTTCCCTTTCATTTCTATTTTACGCAAAATGTTCAAGTTGTTTTTGACAGAAATAAAATTTGCAGTGAAAATAATTAAAGTTTATTAATTGTCGGAAGAAACTATAAATGTTTAATTCCTTACTACATGCAATATATACAAGAAAAATGTTTTTGATGTTAAATAAAAAATAAATTTTTCATAAAACCAAAAACTACCATAAACATAACCTAAAATTTTAGGAGCTAAGATCTCTTTTATCATTGGAATGCTACATGTATTACTTGTGATAAAAACAAACGTTTGTAGTAATATAGTACTTACGATATTCTCAACTTTTCTCTGTTTGTTTTTATTATTATGCCAATAGAAATTAAAAAGGGTGAAAACGATCTGAATAACAACAGATTTCAACTCTCTCTATGGATTTCAATCATATCATGAACGCAAGGATGGCGTAAAATGAACTGCGCCAGAAATGAATTTAGGCTCTGCGCACACTAGCCATGTGCAACATCATCTGATTGGAAGCAGAAATTTGCGCCTTAATTTAAAATTTCTTAAAATATTTTTATTTTAAAAGAAATAAATAAAAAAATTTTATTAATTATTAAGTAATAATTTTTATAATTACACAGAAAAAAAATGTGTTAAATTTGTTGCGTGTATTTTTCAGATGGTGTTATTTTAACACAATTCTGGTATTACTATAACACCCAATGCAAAATTGGTGTCAATTTAACACACTATAGTGTTATTTTAACACCAAATTTAAACTTTTTCAAAAAAAAATTAATTTTGAAATTCAATTATTTTGATAAATTTACGCTATATTGCTTTTAATATTCAATTACAATCTAAAATTATAACTGAAATTAATTTTTAAATCAATTTTTATTAGAAAATTCTACTAGAATTCAATTTATTGAAATAAAACTAAATAATTTATTGAATAATTGAATGTTTCTTAAAATTGAATTATTATAAAGAATTTTATCAACAAATTTTTAAAAATAATTAAATTTTTTCGATTTTGATATTTATCAAGATAATTGAATTCTTTTGACGAATTTGAATAAATTGTTTAAGAATAATTACATTTTTCGAGAAATTTATTTAAAATTGTATTAAAAATATTTTTGAAATTCAGAAAAGAGTTTTATTATTTATGAAAATAATTGAATTTTATAAAAAATTTTAAATAACTAATTTTTTCAGAAAAAAAAATGTATGCCAATTCTATTTTATTTAAGTAATTAATTGAATTCCAGTGAAATTTTGATCATTTATGAGAATAATTGAATGATTGTGTAGAATTTTATTAAAAAATTTTTTAAATAATTTAATTCTTTTTGGAAATTTTATTAAAATAGATAATTATTATTAAATTGAGAAAACGTTTTGAAAATAATTGAAATTTTGTCACTAGAATTTTATTAAACTTTTGCACATAATTGAATTTTTCCGAAGGATTTTATTATTTTTAAAAATAATTGAATTCTTGTCATGAATATTGTTATTCATAAGAATAATTGATATTTGAAAAGAATTTTTTAAAATTCCTGAAAATAATTAAATTTCTGTAAAAAATTTTGATATTTATATAGATAATTGAATAATTAAGATAATTAAAAAATTCAACTAATATCATCAAAATTGAAAATTAAAATTTTTCAAAAAATTAGTTCTATACAGAATTTTTAATTGATGTCTTGAAATGTTTCTTAAAATTGAATTTTTATAAAGAATTTTATCAACAAATTTTTAAACTATTGAATACTTTTGACGAATTTTAATAAAAATTTTTAAAAATAATTACATTTCTCGAGAAATTCGTTAAAAATTGTATTAAAAATAATTGAAATTCTGCGATGAGTTTTATTATTTGTGAAAATAATTGAATTCCTAAAAAGAATTTTTTATTTATGAAAATAATTTAATCCCTGTAAAAAAATTTATTATTTATAAAAATAATGGAATTATTGCTAAGAAATTTATAAAAAATTTATAAATAATTGAATTTTTGTGAAATTTTTATGGTTTATGAAAATAATTAAATGTTTGCGTAAAATTTTATCAACATTTTTTTTTAAATAATTGCAAATTCGTCTGGATTATAATTTTATTAAAATATTAGATATTAAAAATCATTGAATTAAGGAAAATTTTTTTAATAATTGAAATTTTACCAAAAATTTTATTTAAATTTTTTTAAATAATTGAACTTTTTTACTTGTACCTAAAAGATAATATTGAAATTTTAACGAGAATTTAAAAGAATTTTTGAACATAATTCAAATTTAGTACAGAATTTTATTAAAATTTTTGAAAATAATTGAATTTCGGAGATGAGTTTTATTATTTATAAAAATAATTGAAATTTTGACTAGGATTTTTTTTAATTCTTGAACATAATTGAATTTCTATGAAGAAGTTTATTCATTTTTGAATCAATTATTATTATAGAGACTTCTACGAGAATTAAATTATTTAAACAGAAAAATAAATAATTTATTGAATAATTGAATTTTTTTAAAATTTGAATTCTCGAATAAAAAAATTTCATAAACAAATGTTTAAATAATTGAATTCTTTTGACTAATTTTAATGAATTTTTAAGAATAATAACATTTTTCGACGAATTCGATTAAAATATTGTACCTATTAAAAATAATTGAAAATTTGCAATCAGTTTTATTATTTATGAAAATAATTAAATCCTTGTACAAAATTTTCTGAACTTTATGAAAATAATTGAATTAGGTTGCGAAGAAATTTATAAAAAATTTGTAAATAATTGAATTCTTATGTTAATATTTATGAAAATTATTTAATGTTTGCGTAGAATTTTATCAAAATTATTTTTAAATAATTGAATTCTTTTGCAAAAATTTTTGAAAATAATTAAAATTTTGCGAAGAGTTTTATTAAAATTTTTGAAAATAATTAAATTTCGGAGAACTTTTTTTCTTTAAAAAATAATTGAAATTTTGACGAGAATTTAAAAAAATTTTTGAACGTACATAATTGAAATTTAGCCAAGAATTTTATTATAATTTTTATAATTGAATTTCGGAGATGAATTTTATTATTTCTATAAATAATTGAAATTTTAGCAAGAATTTAAAAAAATTTTTGAACATAATTGAATTTCTGCGAAGAATTTTATTACTTTTGAAAATAATTAAATTTTTGCAATCATTTGTAACTTCTCCAAATTAATATTGTTCTTTTTAGTATTTTTATAACTAAAATTCTTCTACAAATCCATTATTTTAATAATTAATTAAATGTATAATTAAAAAATTTAACTAATTTGAGATTCTCTTAAAATAAAATATTTTTAATGCTCGAATTGAATTTCAAGTACTATATTGATTCGAAATTTTCGAATAGTTCAAGTTCGAACCGGTCAGGAATTTAAGTAAAAATTATTCTAATGTTAAAAATGTTTAAAAAATGAGCTGAAAGTGAGTTTTATTTTTTGCAGTTTAAAATTATTTTTCACATACAAAAACCCTTCTCGTCATCAAAAAATAATTATTTAGAAAATTTACGAAAGCCAAAAAATAATCAACATAAATTTAAAATTTAAATCTCAACACTACTATTTAACAAAATGCCTATATAGTTACGTTTAAAGAATCCGTTTACTGCAGCTTTAAGGTCATAAATTTTGTAGCAAAAAATCGTAATCCAATGAGATCTGAAACTACAACCCTTCTCTCTAGGGAAAAGTCTGTCTTGCACGAACTTGCGGAGAAACAGGAATTCGAGAACCCTCTCATTATTTCCTGCGAGAGTTTATACAAATTCCGTAAGTTCATTATACAAAGAAAAACTATCTTTTCCCAAAACTTTCTTCTCAGTACTTATAATAAAATGATAAAGGGAAAAAAATTAAGACTTTTGTATAATTAAGAAAATAAAGTAATAGAATGTTTTACGTCACAAGGGACAAATTTTTTAGGAGAATTTTAGAAGAACTTTTTTTTTACATCGAATAATATAATTTTTCAAGAACTTTCTCAAAAATTATTTAAAATAAATGAAGGATTTTATTTAAAAATTCTAGAAAATAATCGAAATTAAATCTCGGGAATAATTTTGGAGAATTACAGTATAGCAATTTTTATGAATTATCGAATTTTAAAATGGTTTCAAATTTGAAGCTTTTGAAAATTTTAATTTCTATGAAGAAATAATAAAAATGATTAAATATTTATCTAAAAACAATTTTTACATATTTCGAATAATTTTACAATTAAAGGTATTTAGAGAATTTTATCAACAAATTTTAAAATAATTGAATTTTTTCGACGAATTTTATTAACATTTTTAAGAATAATTACATTTTTCGAGGAATTCGATTAAAATTGTATTAAAAAAAATAATTGAAATTCGTTGATGAGTTTTATAATTTATGAAAATAATTTAATGCCTGTAAAAAATTTTCTTAACTTTATGAAAATAATTGAATTATTGCGAAGAAATTTATAAAAAATTTGTAAATAATTGAATTCCGGTGAAATATTTATTATTTATAAAAATAATTAAATGTTTGCGTAGAATTTTATTAAAATTATTTTTAAATAATTGAATTCTTTTGGAAAATTGAATTAAACTGGTAGATAAGAATCATTAAATTGAGGAAAATTCTTGAAAATAATTAAAATTTTACAATGAATTTTATAAAAATTCTTGAATATAATTAAATTTCGGCGAATAAATTTGCTATTTATAAAAATAATTGAAATATTGACAAGAGTTTTTTAAAATTTTTTGTGAAATAATTGAATTTTTGGAAAGAATTTTAATATTTATTAAGTTAGTTGAATTCTTTCAAAGAATTGCGTTAAAATTTTTTAAATTGAAACTAATTTCAATAGAATTGAAATTAAAATTTTTCAAAAAAATACTTCATTAAATGATTTATAAGTAATAACTTTAAAGCAGTTAGTTCTTCAATAGAATTAATATAAGTAATTTAAAATAAATTATTGTCAGAAATAGAAAAAATTTAAGGTTTTTTTTAATTCTTGGTAATTGTCATAGTTTATGAGGCAAACAAAAAGACACAAAATTTCAGAATTTTCTTTTAAATTCTAAACATTTAATTTTTTCCAATACTTTTAATAAAACTCCCTGACTAATTCTGCTATTCCTGACTTTTCCCTGACCTGTGTCAACCATGAATTCATATTATTTTTTAGAGTCAGGGAAAAAGTCATAATTCTATCTGGAAATCAGGAAACTGTTATTATAATTTTACAGAATAGGAACAATATTCAGGAAAATGTTACAAAAAGAAAACACATTTTAATTTTAATAGTACTTTAACTTTTAATTACGATTTTAATATCTTATAGAGAATACAATTCGTTCTTGAATTTTTGTTCTACATTTAAAAACGTTGCAGAACTATTAAACTCGAATAAGTACGCTTTTTTTTAATGAAAATCTAATTACAATTTTTAGACATTTAAAAAAAAAAATATTGAAAGACAAAAAATCGAAAGTCCCAAATAAGGATCAATGTCGAAAAACCGGGAAAAAATACATAAATTTTGTATATAAATATAATAAAGTAATAATAATAATATAATACAAATATATCATAATGAACCTTAATACATAGTTTAATATTTGGCGTCAATCACTTTTTTAAAACTTACAATCTACATAATGCCGTGTACTTGCAAAAAAAAAAACATCGATAATTTTCAATATATTAAAAAAAGGATCGATATTTTACCTGATAATCAAATACTGTTTGAAAAACTATCGCCAAATTAATCTTTCTACGCAATAATTTTCCAGTGGTACAAAGCACCCCAAGTCCAGGTCGCGCTACATCGCAGCAATTTTTTTTTTTCAATTTAAATTTTTCTTTATTCGCCGGTAACAAAAATACTATATATACTTTTTTAAAAAAAAGTGTAATAACGTGAAAAACAAATCCTTAAAAACGGATATTAATAAACTTTTTTTTATACAATTTGTGATTAATTTACAATTCAAAACACGTGTTCATTTACATTTTGGATTTTATAACGAAAAAGTGTCTAACAATCTTAGAAATATTTTTAAGACCTGTCTCGTTATTTAATATTTATTTACAACATTTAAGAATTTTAATAGTATTTCTCTTAGAAAATACAAGAAATGGCGCGCATTAAATTATCTTGAGACGGAATACGAGTGGCGGAGGAAAATGGAAATTTTTTTCTATATAAAAATCGCAATAAGTGAAATCTTCTACAAAAATAAATTTCTCAAATATACTACATTGTACACTCGACTGTATTTCTTTTTTTTCTCTTTCATTCTTTCTTGAACAATATTCAACTTTCTTAAGGCTTCATTTTTCATATTAGTTTGATTATGTCTCTCCCTCACTTTCTCTTTCTCTCTTTTTTCTGTTTTAATAATGCTCTATTTTTAATATTGCTCCTATAACTTTGTATAAAAATATGTTCTCTTTCTATTAACTCTGAATTCTCTTTTTTTTTTTTTTTTTGAGCAAACATACAACAATCTCTTTTTTTTAAACTCTGTACTATTCTTGTTTTTCTTTTTATTCCATTGTCCTCCGTGACTCAACAAAATAATCCAGCGTCCAATATTTATTATAATCTCTAGTTTTGCGCTACGCGCCTAATTAATTCAATTAATTACTAAAGTGGCTCATGATTATTCGATGAAAATATTTGTTCTTTTTCTCAATTTCAAAATTATTTTTAGTGCTTAAAATTGTTATAATTTTATTTAGCAAATGTTTGATAAATTTATAATATAATTTAATAAAATTTCTAACATTTAGCAAAATGTATATGTAGTCAAATGCATATTTTTTATAATAAAAAAATTCTTTTTTCCAATTTTTAATCCCCGATTGCATTTGCTTCATTTTTAGTTTTTTAAAAAGCAGATAAATTAAATGCGAAACTTACTTAAAATTTATATTTACTAAGAACGAAAAAATACTGTTTTGGAATGGAAAAATTTATATTATTATTTCTTTGTTACTTATAAATAATATTACTAATATAATATTAAAATTAATTTATAATAATTTAGTTTTCCATTTTCTATCCTAGTCTTTAAGTTTAGAAATTCAACAAAAAAAGGAAAAAAATGCAAAATCTTTTTCGAATTTTCTTCGATTTATATAAATATTAAAATTTTCCTTATTTTATGAAAAATGAATAACAATTTTACATTTTCTTTTTAAAATCCCTAATTTCTATTTTTTCGATTTTTATTTTTACTTTCTTTACTTAATTTACCACTAATTTTTGTCTTTTCGAAATTTTTTTTACATTTAATTTTTTACTTTTTCTAAAGTTTACTTAATACGTATTTTTTATATTTGTACTCATTTCCATTATATAATTTCTTTTTATAATTATTAATTTTAATTTTTACCGTTTCGAAGTGATTCTTAAGTTATGAAGGTTCAAATGAACGAATTTTGTTTTCTTTACAATTAATTGAAATGAAATCAATTAAATTAGTTAAATTAATGAAATGCATTTAATTAAATTAATTTTTTGAAAATATTTCGAAACATTAAAAACTGTAATTGAGAGTGAAAATGTAAATTAAAATTAGAAGAGTTTATAAATTATTTTTCAATTAATTTCACGCAGTAACAATAAAATTCAAAGATGAATCGGAGCAAAAATTAGTTCAATTTCATATTTTCTACTTTTAAAAAAGGAAATTTTAATTTTATACGCATTTTGGTGCATTCAAATGCAATAATTCTCGTAAATGATAAAAATTTAATTCTTTACTCTTTTTACCAAAATGCATTTAAAATTTGAATTTAAAATACAGAAAATTTAATTCAAAAATAAAAAATATGGAGTTGAATTAACTTTCGATTTGATTGTCTCTCTAATTTTTTTTTTAAATTTACTGAAGAAATAAACAAAATTTTATTCATTTGAATGTCTTCGAAACATTAGGTACATTCTTTCGAATTCTCATTATTTCTAATCTTACATTTATAATACCAGAGAATCCCAATTATTATTTGTAAATAATTTCATTTCATTAAAGACCAAAAATGGAAATAAGTAAATATGTAACCGAAAAAAAATAAAAAAAAATTGACTAGTAAAATTTCAGAAAGATTAAATTCGACAAATTATGTTACTTTTGAAAAGAAATAGAAAAAAAGGGAAAAATGCTACAAAAATTGTTTATTCTAATTAGAAAGTGAGAAAAAGATTCAATTTAGTAAATAATCATGCGCCTGGGGGTTTTCATTGTGTAATTTTATTTTGACTTTTAACTTTGAATTTGTTTTCCATTTTCACTTTTACTTTGACTTTCACTTTGATTTTTAGTTTGACTTTGACTTTAACTTTTATTTTACCTTTACTTTGACTTTCACTTCGATTTTTACTTTGACTTTCACTTCAAATTTTATTTTAACTTTACTTTGATTTTTACTTTAACTTTTACTCCGATTTTTACTTTGACTTTGATTTTTACTTTTACTTTCACTTTGATTTTAACTCTAACTTTACTTTAACTTTACTTTGACTTAGACTTTCACTTTTATTTTAACTTTACTTCAACTTTAACTTTATTTTAACTTTAACTTTAAGTAAAAGTCAAAGACTTTTACTTAAATTTTTACTTCGACTTTACTTTGACTGACTTTTACTTTTACTTCAATTTTTACTTCTACTTTACTTTGACTTTAACTTTACTTTAACTTTGAATAAAAATCAAAAGCAAAGACAAAGTCAAAGACTTTCACTTCAATTACTTTGACTTCGACTTTTACTTTAATTTTACTTTCAATTTTACTTTAACTCTGAGTAAAAGTCAAAAACAAAGAAAAAGTCAGACTTTTACTTCAATTTTAACTTCCACTTTTACTTTAATTTTACTTTCACTTTATCTTTAACTTTGAGTAAAAGTCAAAAACAAAGACAAAGTCAAAGACTTACTTTAATTTTACTTTAACTTTGAGTAAAAGTCTTTGACTTTTACTTCAATTTTTACTTCGACTTTACTTTGACTTTAACTTTACTTTAACTTTGAATAAAGATCAAAAGCAAAAACAAAGTTAAAGTAAAATCAAAGTAAAAGGAACGTCAAAAACATTCCTTTTACTTTTACTTTTACTCTAATTTGACTCTAACTTTGCTTTTGATTTTTACTTTGTCTCCGACTTTAACTTTCACTTTGACTTTGTCTTGTCAAAAGTGAAAGCAAAGAAAAAGTAAAATAAAATTCAAAATAAATGTCAAAGTGAAAGGGAAATTCGAAGTCAAAAATGCCTTTTACTTAATAATACCGTTAGTAAAGTTCACAACGTTTACAACCAACGATTTATTTAAAAAAAAAATATTTTTCTATTTAAATTTTTATATATTTCTGTATAAAAAACGTTTTGCATAGTTTTTCGATCAATAATTTAAAAAAAAAAATTTGTAAACAAAATATTTTATTGTTTTCGGTATGAAAAATACTATTTTCTTTCAATCCTTGATCATAAATGTCATGAAAGTGAAAGTAAAAACTAAAAATCAAAATAAACGTCGAAAAGTCAAAATTTAACATCGAAGAGAATTTCGATGTTAAAATGAACTTTTGACAAAGTGAAAACAAAATAAAAGTCAAAGTGAAGGAGAATGTAAAAGTTAAAATGAACTTTTGACTTTGACCTACTAAAAGTGAAAAGAAAATAAAAATCAAAGTTAAAATTAACTTTTGACTTTGACCTACTAATAGTAAAAATAAAATAAAAATCAATATAAAAAAGAAATTCAAAGTTGAAATTACTCTTTGACGTTGACACACTAATAGTCAAAAGAAAATAAAAATCAAACTGGAAGAGAAATTCCCAGTAAAAGTCAAACTGAAATTACACAAATACAACCCAAGTTAGATACAATATCCTTATTATCATCTTACAATCGGCTTAATTCGTTTTTCGTACGCATACAAAAACAAGTCAATTTAAAAAAAATGCATTTGGCGTGCCTCGATGATAAACTTTCCATGGGAAAGTCCTTGTGAATTTTAAATTTCATCTCGAGAAATCAATAAATTAATTATCGTTTTACCCACTCTATCACTCCCAAAAAAAAAAATAGTTCGTCACACTCGCTTCAAAAAAAATTTTTTTTTTTTTTCACTTCACTTGAATAAAAAAAAACTTTTTCCAAAATCACTTTGTTCTCGCTGAATTTATTGCGTTTGAACGATTAACACTCTGTCTATTCACTTTATTTCTACTCGCTGCCGTTGTTGTTTCAACAACAGATTTACGAATTTTAATTTCCTTTTTCTCACAACTCGTTGTTGTTGACACGTCCTCTCTTTTCTTCACTAAATTTTTTCCCGTTATATTTTTTTGTTTCGTCTCCTCATAGGCCTTTCTCGTCGGTTGTGGTGTATGATATAAACTTAAACGTTTTGCTTTCGCTAGAACATTCGCCGTTTGTTTATCGTCACGTAATTCATCAGACGAATTGTACTTTCTTGTCGAGGACTTTGATCTTCCATTATCGTTCGAATCCGACTTTTTTGTTGTATACTGTGGCGCACAACTGTATCGCTTTGACCAATTGTCCGGATGATTATTGACCTTTATTCGTCGTTTGACAGCTTCATTTTGATCGTTTTTGGAATTTTCGAGAACGCGGTTGACTGTTGATGATGATGTTGATGATATGATGCGTTGTTGGACCGGAATTTGTGATTTTGATGTTTGGGATCTCGTTTGTCGGGGGAGAATCGTTGTTGGTGGTTCCTTTCGATTTTTATCTTTCTCTGAGGATTGTTTGGGGAAAACAGTATTTTCGTTATTTTTTGTTGATTGGTGGTATTTTCTAATTGACTCGTGTTCGGTTTCATTGTCTGAACAGTGAATTGAGGAGAAACCGTTTGTTTTGGTGAGTTTGTATAAATTTTTTCGGGTTATTCTTGCGCGATTGGCAGTGGATTTGGCAGATTTTGGTGTATCGAGGTAATTGTCGATGGACATTTTTGGAGTGGAATGTATACTTGATGGGGTGATTCCGTTTCGTTTGGATAACGAAGAATTTTTGTCGGGGGTTATTAGGAAAGGTGGGGGATCCTCGGGGGAATTTAGATTTTCGGGAATGCTGTTTAGGGAGGAGGAGATACTTTGCGATGGTTTTGGAAAGTCTTTTCGATAGGAGATTTCCTTTTCCTCACTGGATTGTTGTTGTTGTTTTTCGAGTATTAAATCCTGCAGAGAACGAGTGAGATCTTTTAGACAATCGTTGCTGAAGGGAAGCGTTGTGTCTCTGCAATTGCCATTGGAGAAATCACATTCATCACGTCCAGCGGACACAATATCGTTCTCGATTTCGCGTTCTATTTCCGCGCTCTTGTGCTTAATGGGCTCAATTTTCGTCCATCTGGTTCGTTGAACATTGTCCGACTCGTCCTTGGTCTGGCGATGCCTCTGCTTCTTGTAGTCGAATTCGAACGTAGCGACTCTTATCGGCTGACGCTGCTGATTCCGGTGTTGCTGCGGTGATTCGAGATTGGTTGCTGCTGCCGTCTGTTCGCCTCCTAGAAAGCTCTGCTGGTGTAGAGAGGCAGAAAAAAAGAAAAGAAAAGCTTTGCTACAGATAAGACAAACCACTACTGAAGCTCTTGCTGTGTCAGGGTGACCTAAATTAATAAATAATCTCCAACCAATTTTTAACATTAATTTTCTGTCTGTTTGCTTGAGTCATGTGCCAGAACTCAGTACGTGAACCCAAGGATACAATTATAAAGAATCAGGATTCAAGCTCAGTGCGTGTTCACAAGCAAATTATTAATTAATATTTCTCAAAGAATTAATAAAACTGTGTGATAGAATAGCGTTAGATTGACATATTTTTTTTCCCCCAGAAAGAATAGTGAAAAGAAAGTGTGAAAGAAATAATACCAAGGAGGACTACACAGATTTCTCATTAATCCCACAAGTTAATAGTGTAATTGTAAAAGCTCTTGATTGTTTAGGACATTAACAATTCTGAAAAAAAGAACATAAGAAAAAATTTTCAAAACATATTCTAAAATCTAAGTAGTGAAAGAATTTTAATTATAAATCATAATTATAAATAATAAATTATAATGAAAACAAAAATGAATAATGAATTATAATGAAAACAAATGAATAAAGAATAGTAAAATGGATAATGCGAATAAAGAATGAAAAATAAATTAATAAAAGAGAATTTTTCAAAAATTGAAACATAGTAAGAAAAGGGACTTGAGATTCTTTCTTTAGCTGACAATCAAGACTTTAGGATAATATTTACTGATTAATTAATATAACATATAACCATATTACGAAAGATGTAAAATTCGTTAATTTTAATAACATAAAGAAAGTTTTCTTTTCAATAATAAAAATTTTTCGCCCCATAATAAAGTTCGCAGTTTGAAGTTAGTTGTTTGCTTTTTTGTTTCTTAACTTTTTAAATAATTTTTCCTTTAAAATATTTTCAATATTAAAATTAACGTATTTAAAATCATTGAATTTTTACAGAAATATTTATCAAAAAATTTGTGAATTTGAAAATTCCTCCAAAGAATTTTATTATTTATGGAAATAATTCAATTTTAGCCAAGAATTTTTTTTTAAATTATTTTAAAATAATTGAATTTTTTTGTGAAATTTTATTATAAATAATTGAATTTTTGCAAAGATTTTACTATGTAAAAAAATAATTGAATTGTTTCGAAAGATTTATTAAAATTTTTTAAAATAATTGAATTGGTTCGTGAACTTTTATTGAAAGTTTTAAAAAAAATTGATTTATTTCATGAAATTTTTAAAAAATTATATTAAAAAATAATTGAATTTTTGCAAAGAACTTTATTATTTATCAAAATAATTGAATTATTTTGATGGATTTATTAAAATTTTGAGAAAATAAATCAATTCTTTCGTGAAATTTTATTAAAAAAATTAAATTCTTTCAGGAATTTGTTTTTATAATTTCATTAAAAAATAATTGATTTTTTGCAAAAAACTTTTCTATTTATAAAAATAATAGAATTGTTTTGAAGGATTTATTCAAATTTTGAGAAAATAATTGAATTCTTTCGTGAAATTTTATTGAAAATAATTGAATTTTTGCAAAGATTTTACTATGTAAAAAAATAATTGAATTGTTTCGAAGGATTTATTGAAATTTTAAAAAAGAATTGAATTCTTTCGTGAAGATTTATAACAAAATAATTCCATTTTTGAAAAGAAGTTTACTATTTATAAAAATAATTGAATTGTTTGATGGATTTTTTAAAATTTTGAGAAAATAATTGAATTCTTTCGTAAAATTTTATTAAAAATAATTGAATTCTTTCATGAAATTTTTTTAAAAATTTCATTAAAAATTTTGTTGAAAATAATTGAATTTTAGCAAAAAATTTTACTATTTATAAAAATAATTGAATTCTTGCAAAAAATTATATTACTATTTTTAAAAATATAAACAATAATAATTAATTCTGCAATTAATAAGTGAATTTAAAAAATTTGTATTATGAAATTATTTAAAAATTCATATTTGAAAATAAAAAGTTTTATAATTTTTATAATAATACTAATAATATTAAATTAAATATTTCGATCTACGCGTAACATTTGCTAGTTAATAATAATTAGTAACTTTATTCACTTTTTATAACCCAAATAAATAAAAATATTATTTATGATTTCATTAAAATGAGGCGAAAATCTAAATTATGAAATTAAAAATTTGTACGAATTATAAAATCAAATAAATTTTACATCTTTTTTCTCCTTCTAAAATCGTTCGTTTAACCATTTAAATAAAATAAAATGCCCTTAACTTACATCATTGTCAATGATTTAAAGAAACTTTTAAAGAATTTCAAAGGCATCCAAGAAAATGAACTAATAATTCCGGGACTCCAGTTTGCTAAAACCATAATAAAATTCCTTTCTAAATAATCAAAAATCAAATAAAAATTATATATAATAAGCTAAAAATAATTATTAATCTCTTTTTTAATTAATAGTAAAGTAAAAATTTTATCTAAACAGAATAAAATTTTTTCTTTAAAAGTCCTTGATTGCCTTGAATTTAAAGACAAATGATTATTATAAATGTACATAAATTTTATCTTTAGAAAAAAGCCTAAAAAATGATAATATAATTAATATAAATAGCCCACAACCTTAAGCTTTATATTTAGTAAAAAAAAAGAACATTATTTTTAGTTTACTTAAAGCAATGCTAAAGAACTATTTAAAGAGTGTTTAAAACAACGAAAGTATAAAAATGATATAATTACAATTATTTCAGAAATTTGTGGAAATTCACTATACACTTGAAAAAGAAATTAAATATTGAAACAATTACTAAATTTTTCCTAAAGTTTTTAAAATTTAGAAAAAAAAAATATTTAAAGAGCATTTTAATCAGTAACTGAGAATTACTACGATTTAGAATTTTAGTCTATTTTTTAAATTTTCGAAAAATATTGAGTGACAAAAATACTGAAGACACAAACACAAAACTAATTTCATAAACAATGCTTTCTAAAATTGCAAACATTTAAAAAAACGTCGGTGAAATTTAAGACGTTTATAATCAATGATCTAATGAAAAAAATATTTTTCTTGACGAAAACAACAAAATGTTTTGTTTACGAATTTTTCTTTTTGAAATTATTGATCAAAAAATTATGTAAAAACATTTTTTATTCAAAAATATATAAAAATTGTAATGGAAAAATATTTTTTCTTTTGAATCGTTGATTATAAACGTTGTGAATCTAACCAATGTTTTAAAAAAATAATAATCGTAATAATAAATATAATAATAATAAAAATAGTGATAATAATAAATGATATAATAAATAATAATAGTAATAAATAATAATGTTAATAATAAATATAATACTAATATAATAATAAAAATAATGATAATAATAAATAATATAATAAATAATAATAATAATAAAGTAATAATAATAATCAAAATAGACTAGAAATCTTGACCGCAGTAATTAATTTTAAAGAAAAATTCAAATCACTATATCTAATTATTAATTGAGAGAAAAGATGAAACATCACCGACTATAATGAACTATTTAGAGAATAATTTAAATCACTATGATTATTCATTTAGAGAGTACTCTCTCAGTGATTAACTAAAATTCTAATTATTATGAATCCTTTCCCTAGAAATAACTCTGAAAATTCCTCTAGGAAAAGAGAAAGCTCAGAGATTTAATTTGAATTAATCAGCCGCATAAAATTTGCCTTTTTTTTAATTCATTCTCCGTACCAAGTTGGAACATGCGAATAGATAAGAGAGGGTTTTCTATTTTATAAATATTATTATTATTATTATGATAGCAAGAAAAGAAAGTTACCATAAGCCACGGATGATCGAGAACATCTTCAGCGCTGAATCTCAATTCGGGTTGTGCTTGTAGCATATTTGAAATTAACATTTTCGCCGAATCGGAAATATTGTCCCAATAAGGAGACGTAAATTCGTATTGTCCACTTAATATTCTTTCGAATAATTCTTCTTGCTCGTTGTCAGGTGAGACGAAAGGCGGAAATCCACAGAGTAGAATGTATAATATAACTCCAGCTGCCCACACGTCAATCTATAATAATCAAATTTAGGTTTATATTTTTTTTCTTTCCCTTGCAGTAAATTCGATTTTTTATTTAAAAATATCGAACGCCTCGGATCGACTTTAAGGAACTTTAAGGAACCAAAAAAGTCGCTTTAGTCGATTAAAAATAGAAAAAAATGTCGAAAAAGGTGTTTATTTACTTCAGTGTTGTCACAAAAAATGTTATTTTGTATTTCCTTGATTTATCACTGATTTATAAATTCAATTAATCAAAACTTAAATAATTTTGCCAAATAAATATTTAAATACTTCTTACCTCTTTTTTCACGAAAAATAAATTTTTTTAAATTTCAAGTTCTGGAATTTATTAATTTCTATAAATTACAACAATAATCCTTCTAAAGTTCAATTATTTTCTACAATTTTGAACTAAACTTCATCTCCAAATCAATTATCTATATTAATTTTTAATAATTTTCCAAAAGTTCTTCGAGAATTCAATTGATTCAATACGAAAATTCAATTTTTTATAACAATTAAAAAATGTCAAAAATATTGAAATTTGATAAAATCTTTTAAAAAATAATTGAAATTCTAAAAAAATTTTTTGTATAATTTAAAAAAAAAGTAATTAATTTTTTGAAGAATTTTAATTAAAAATTTTGAACATGATTTTTTTCTTCAAAATGTTAAAAATAATTCTAAAATGTTATTATTTTTTTATGTATTTGAATTTTTGGAAAAATGTAATTGAGAATACTGAAAATATTGAATTTTAAAAATTAGAATGCAAAAATTCCTAGAATTATTTTTATCCAAAATACTTTAATATAATTTTTTTGTACCTAATTTTCATTAATTACCATTTTTAAATTTACACTTGAAGATTTTTCATTAAAATTTTTGAGAATTTAATTATTTCCAAAATTTCCAATTAAAATTCTTTTAAAGTTTATTTTCAAAAATTTTTATCAGACACTTTGAAAAAAATCAATTATTTTCAATTAAATTTTACAAAATTTCAATTATTGAAACTTTTTTTTATTGTAAATTTTGAAAATTTAGTAATTTATAAAAATAGTTGAATTGTTTCGAAGAAATTATTAAAACTTTAGGAAATAATTGAATTTTATAGAAATATTTGAATTCTTCCGAGAAATTAAAATAAGATATTTTGAAAATAATTGAATTTCTGCAAAGAATTTTACTATTTTATAAAAATAATTGAATTTATTCGAAATATATTAAATTTTTTTAAAAATTAAATTCTTCCGAGGAATTCAATTTCAATTATTTTCAAAATTTGCAATTCAAATTCTACAAAAGTTGATTTTCAAAAATTTTTATAAAACACTTTAAAAAAAATCAAATATTTTCAATTAAATTTTACAAAATTTCAATTATTGAAACTCTTTTTTTATTGTAAATTTTAAAAATTTATTTAGTATTTAATATTTATAAAAATAGTTGAATTGTTTCGAAGAAATTATTAAAATTTTAGGAAATAATTGAATTTTATGGAAATATTTGAATTCTTTCGAGAAATTCCATTAAATATGTTTTGAAAATAATTTAATTCCTGCAAAGAATTTTACTATTTATAAAAATAATTGAATTCTTGCGAAGAATTTTACCATTTATAAAAATAATTGAATTGTTTCGAAGGATTTATTAAGATTTTAGAAAATAATTGAATTTATTCGAAATATATATTAAAAATTGATTTAAAAATTAAATTCTTCCGAGGAATTGAATTTCAATTATTTTCAAAATTTGCAATTAAAGTTCTTTAAATGTTGATTTTCAAAAATTTTTAAAAAACACTTTAAAAAAATCAATTATTTTTAATTAAATTTTACAAAATTTCAAATATTTATTGAAACTCTTTTCAATTGTAAATTTCGAAAATAAGTTGCATTTTATACTAAAAATTATTGCAATGTTCGAAAGAAAAGTCGAAAAAGTCGTAATTTTTGAAAATAAGTCGAAAAAAGTCGCATTTTTTGAAAATAGTCGAAAAAAGTCGAAAATGTTATAATATCCAAGGCTTGGAAATATAGAAAAAAATAATTTTTCACATCTTTTTCATTACCTTTAGGCCGTATCCCATTTCGGCTAGAATTTCAGGAGCAACATAAGTTGGAGTGCCGCACACTGTGAATAATGGTTCAACAACAACTTGAGCAAGTCCGAAGTCAGCTAATTTCAGACATCGGACTCTACTTCCATCCATTTCAACTAAAAGATTTTCTGGTTTCACGTCTCGATGCACAATATGATGAGAGTGCAAATAAGCTAGAGCTGATGTCAAGTGTCCTATCATAATGCTCGCTTCGGTTTCTGAAAATTTTGTCGCCGCTGCTATGGCGTCAAATAAGTCTCCGCCCTGAATGAATAAACAGAGAATTTATTACAACTTCAGCCTTTCTACCTAACCCGGAAATAGAAGAGAAAGATATTACACTTTATATTTTAAATATTTTAAATACTGACAAAAATTACAAATAACAAGAAATTTGTGATAAAAACAATTTTTAGTAATATAGTTTTCAACTTTACCTTCACTAGTTCCATAACTAAAAACAATTGATCCGTTGTTTCTTGTTCAGCAATTAAACTAATAATATTCGGATGACAAACTTGTCGCAAAATTGCCACTTCACTCGCCAACATTGTTTCTTTCCCTTGACATTTGTATTTGTCCACTATTTTAATCGCATATTCGGCTCCTGTTGCTCTGTGTAACAAAAAATACTTATTTAGTCAATTTTTTAATAATTTCAGATTCAAAATTTTTAAAATTTACTTATTAAGTAGTACATAATTAAATGTTCTTGATAATTTTAAAAAATTTTATTAAAATTTTTTGTAATAAATTAATTATTCTCATAAATAATTCTCATAAATAATTCTTTTGAAGACTTCAATTATTTTAAATACAATATTAATACAATTTCTCGATAGAATACAATTATTTTTAAAAAGAATAATTAAATTAGATTCTTTTCAACAATTTTGATAAAATTCTATGGAGGAATTCAATTATTTTCTTAAGGGCATTTGAACCATTATGACGTCATAGGTTCTGCAAAGCATGTGTTTTAAGGCTGTGACGTCATCATGGTTCAAATGCCCTTAAACAATAAAATTCTTCGGAGAAATTCAATTATTTTTATAAATAGTAAAATTCCTAGGAAAAATTGAATTATTTTTCTAATTATAATAAAATTCTTCAAAGGAATTCAATTATTTTCAATATAATTTTAAAAAAATTTTTCGAAAGAATACAATTATTTTTAAAAATATTAATAAAATTCAATTATTTCATATTTTTAAACGTTTTAATAAAATTTTTACCATGAATTCAATTATTTTCAAAATTTTAATAAAATTCTTTCAAAACATTCAATTATTTTCAACAATCTCAAAAATAATAACATTTTTGAAAGAATTCAATTATTTTTATAAATAGTAAAATTTCTCGGAGGAGTTAAATTATTTCTCTAAATAATAAAATTGTTCAAAGGAATTCAATTATTTTTAATACAATTTTAATAACATTTTTCGAAAGAATACAATAATTATTTTTAAAAATATTACTTAAATTCAATTATTTCATATTTTTAAACGTTTTAATAAAATTTTTACCATGAATCCAATTATTTTCAAAATTATAAATTGTAATCAAATTTTTCTAAAAAATTCAATTCTTCCCAAAAGTTTTTCTTAAAATTCGTTGTAAATATCAATTATTTTCAAAATTTTCAATTAAAATTATTAAAATAAATCTACTTTATTTTCACGAAATTTAAAGAAATTCTTGAAAAAATTTATAATTAATTATCCGAGGAATTTTACTATTTATAAAAATACTTGAAATTCTTTCAAAGAATGTTATTATTTTTGAAAATAATTGAATTGTTTCGAAGAATTTTATCAGAATTTTTGAAAATAATTGAATTTTTTGAAAGAATTTTATTAAAAATTTGGTAAATAATTGAATTCAAGGTAAAAATTTTATTAAAACGTTTAAAAATATTAAATAATCGAATTTTATTAATATTTTAAAAAATAATTGTATTCTTTTGAGAAATTTTATTTAAAATAATTTAATTCCTTTGAAGAATTTTATTATTTAGAAAAATAATTTAATTCCTCTGAGGAATTTTACTATTTATAAAAATAATTGAATTCATTCATAGAATTTTATCAAAATTGTTGAAAAGAATCTAATTTAATTATTCTTCTTTAAAATAATTGTATTCTTTCGAGAAATTGTATTAATATTGTATTTAAAATAATATTATTCTCAAAAGACAACAGTTTTAATAAGAATTCAATTGTTTTCAAAAATTGTAATAGAATTCTGGAAAAAATTCAATTATTTTTCAAAAATTTACATAAAATTCAATAATCAAATTTTTAATTGCAACAATTAAAAAAATTTTCAAAAAAGTTGCAAGTAAAAAAAAATTAAAAAGTTTTCATAATTTTCAATGGAAATTATTTTTTAAAAAAACTATTATTTTTAAAAAACTTAAAGAAATTCTTCAAAAGAATTTAAATATTTACGAAAACTTTAATAAAATGGTTCAATAGAATTTAATTTTCTATCAATAATTTTAATAAAATTTAATACTAAATTATCAATTACAATTATTAACAAAATCAATTAGGTATATAAAAAAATTTTTTTAAATTCTTTGAAAAAATTCAACTAATTTCAATACTTTAATAAAATTCCTGGAAAAAATTCAATTATTTTCAAACAAATTTGGTAAAATTCAATGATTTTCAATGTATTGATTTTAAAATTCAAAACATTTAAAAAGAAAAATGATTCAAATAAAAACAAGTAAAAATTTTTATTTTCTGGAAATTTTATTTCTCTGGTGAATTTTTATTCTATATTAGACTACCTCATTTTTTAATTTTGTACCATTTTCATTTGAAAGTTGAGATTTTTTTTCTAATCAATTATGTAAAGTTTAAAAATAGGAAATATAAAAAAATAGAAAAATATAAAAAAAACTAACTTTTAAAATACTTTTGTTTATTTTATTGAAAATTTATTGTTGTCCCATTTTCAAACTTTACATAATTTATTGGAAAAAATTTCAGCTTTTCAAAATGATAAAAAAAGATAGCTTTTGTAAAAATTAAAAAATGAGGTTTATTATTGAAAAAATAGAGGTTAAATAATTTTTTTTTTAAAAAAGACTTTCGGAATTGAAATGTAAAAACAAAAAGTGCTTTAAAATGGCAAGAAATTGAATATATACAAAATTTATATTACTTAATTTTTGTAGAAGTTATGTCAATTTGAATATAATAATGTCCCTTAACATCTAATTTTTTGATTTGATCAGTTCACGTGGAATTGCTCAACCATAAAAATATTAATAATATCATTGCTATTTTTATTGATATATTGTTATTATTTGGTATTATTTTACGGTGTGATAAAAAATTTAAAAATACATCAACTTTTAAATCACTGAAGAAGAAAGTTAGAAAAATACGAACAAACAAAAATAAGTTTTGAGAGTTTAAATTGTTTTAACTTTCTCTCTATTATTAAGTAATAAAAATTTTTGTAAATAAAAAAATGTATACTCCAGTAAAAGATAATTGAGTTTAAGGAAATAGTTTTAATTATTATGAATTATTTAATTTAACTATTATCTACGTATGAGAAGTAGTAAAATTGAATACTTAATTTTGGAATTTTTTTAAAAGACTTGTTTTTAAATTTTGAAAAGTTTGATTTTCTCTGTAATTACACAATATTGATTGTAGTAAAAATAGAAATATTTTTTTAGCGATTTCTTATTTTACTCCGCTTCTATGGGTGAAATATTTTGTCATTTTCTGACTTTTGCACATGTATCCAGAACTATTGATTTTCGTTTTTAGTAGCAGATGTTTGGTGTCATGTCTGTTTGCTCAATGTTATTTATATTCCGTGATTTGTAAAATAATTTAATTCTTGTAATTTCTTTTATTCTTTACGTTTCAATTTAATTCAATGTAGGCAGTAGAAGTAACATTAATATTATTTGCATTATTATATGCAATATTATTTGCATATAATTTTTAAATTATCAAATTATGTTAAATTTATAAATATTTTATTTGCATCAATTAAACTTTATGATAAATATATATAATTTATATTTGTAAAATTCATAACTATGAAATTTATGACAAATAACAAGTATGTCAAATGATAATTATGATAATAAACATTTATGTCGAATGATAATTATGCCAAATAGAAAATATTATATTTTAGAGACATTATTGTATTTAAATTCATATCCTCGACAAAAAATTTACAGAGTGAATTTTAAAGCACTTTTTGTGTACTTTTCAATACCAAACATTTTTTTCAAACAAAATTTTTAAACCTCTCTTTTTATATTTTTTTGATGAAAGTTTTTTTTTCAATGAAAGTGATTTGAAAAAAATGAAAAAGTGGTAGTTTTGTAAAAATTGATAAATAAGATTTATTTTTGAAGAAAGAGCGGTTTAAAAATTTTATTTTTAAAAAAGTTTTTGTCATTGAAAAGTAAATAAAAAGTGCTGTAAAATTCACTGTTATTGGAATTAGATTTATCAAGTTTCGTCGAAATTAAAAATTTATTGCCCTAAAGTTTTCCTGATTTCCATAAGAAATATTAACTTTTTTTCTAATCCTGGTACTAATTTCAATTCTAAATTTTTTTAAAATTCAAAAATTTTTCATATTTTTTGTTAAAATTTTTACTATTTACTAATTTACAATATTACAATTTTTGAAAAACCACATTTTTCAGAATTTCAAAATTAAGTTATGCAAAACTTTAATAATTATTTTAGCCAATTAATAAATTAATCATTTGTTTAAAATAAATATTATTATTACAATTTTACAGGAATTGAAATTTTCAAAACTTTCAATTCAAAAAACCTTCAGAAATTGAATTATTTCTAAAAATTTCTACTACTTACATGGCTTCTAATATTCAATATCTTTTTCAATCAATCCTTATTAGAAAATTCTTCGAGAATTCAAATTATTTAAATTTAAAAATAAATAATTGATAGAATATTTGATTATTTTTATAATTGAATTATCATAAGGAATTTTATTACAATTTTAAAAAATACTTAAATTTATTCGAAGAATTCTAATAAAAATTTTTATATAATAATAATAATTGGATATTTCGAGGAAGACAATTAAAATTGTATCGAAAATAATTGAAATTTATCGAAGAATTTTATTATTTATAAAAATAATTGAATATTATTTTTTAAAAGTAATTAAATTCCTGCGAAAAAATTTAGTATTTTTGAGAATAATTTATTGAATTCTTGTGAAGAGTTTATTAAAATTTTTGAAAATAATTGAATTTTTTGGCAGAATTTCCTATTGAAAATTTTGAAAATAATTGAATTCTTTTGAGGAATTTAATTACAATTATATTTAAAATATTGTAATAGTAATTGAATTTCTTTTGGTAGATTTTCTTAAAATTTTTCCTATTTATTAAATAAAATTGTTTCAAAAAACTTTAATAAAATAGTAGATATTGAAAATAATTAAATTTCTTCAAAGAATTTGTGAAAATAATTGAATTTTTTCCAAAGAATTTTATTAAAATTTAAAAAAATTATTGCATTCTTGCGATAAATTTTATTATTTATGGAAATAATTAAGTGCTTTCGAGGAATTTAATAAAAATTAAACTTAAAATAATTGAATTCTTTTAAAAATATTTTAAATAATTGATTTCTTCCCAAAAATTTCATGAAAATTATATTTAAAATAATTGATTTCCTATGCCAATTTTATTATTCATGAAAATAATTGAATTTTTCGGAAAATTTGTTAAAAAATTGAATTATATTTTGAGAAATTTTATTTAAATCGTAAATATTGAAAATAATTGAATTTCAGCAAAGAATTTTATTATTTTTGAAAATTGAATTTTTTCCAAGAACTTTATTAAAATTTTTAAAAATGATTGAATTATTAAAGATAAATTTTATTATTTATGGAAATAATTAAGTTCGTTGAAGGAATTCTATAAAAATTGCACTTAAAATAATTGAATTCTTTCAAAAATATTTTAAATAATTGTTCTTTTGAAACATCTCATGACAATTATATTTAAAATAATTAAATTCTTATGAAAATTTTACTATTTATGAAAATAATAGAATTTTTTAGGAAACTTTTTTAAAAATTTGTTTAAATAATTGAATTACATCAAAGGATTTTATTATTATTGAAAACAATTGAATTTTTTCCCAAGAACTTCATTAAAATTTTTAAAGATTATTGAATTCTTACGATAAATTTTATTATTTATGGAAATAATAAAAATTCTTTCGAGGAATTCACTAAAAATAATTGAATTCTTTTAAAAATATTTTAAATAATTGATTACTTTTAAAAAATTTAATGAAAATTATATTTAAACTAATTGAATTCCTATGAAAATTTTATAATCTATGAAAATAATTGCATTTTTGGGGAAAAGTTTTTAAAAATTTGTTTAAATAATTGAATTCTTTTGAGAAATTTTATTAAAATGATAAATATTGAAAATAATTGAATTTCAGCAAAGAATTTTATTATTTTTGAAAATAATTGAATTTCGGTAACGAATTTTATTATTTTTGAAAATAATTAAATAAAAAATTGCAGAATTTAATATTATTTTGAAGAAAATTAATATTTATTTTTTTGTTTCAACTATTAGCGAATTTAAAGTAGTGGAAATTCTGAAAAAGTAGCTGTTTAAAATCATAAATCTAAAAAAATTATCCAAATAGTAGCGGATCGTAAAAAAGGTAGTAAATAGTAAGTTTTCGAAGATAAGTGCAAAGCCAGAAAGAAGTAAAAAAAATATCATCGTTCATTTGAATATTCGAAAAGTTATAGGAACATAAAAAAAGTATGCTGAGTGAGCATTATTTTAATTGAGAATCATGATGAACCAGATCTATTCCAAAGATATAATAAATTTGCTTAGGTGAAATTTTTTTTTTGTCAGATATTGTCATTTGAATCGTGGGAAAACACTTTCGACTCAGAAAAGCATTGCTACGAAAAAAAGCAAAAAAAAAAAAAATATCAGACTTACTTATGGACGCATTGCCGTACAACTGCAAAGTTACCGTCTCCAATAACATGGCCAACAGTGTAATGCAGTCTGAGCGGTTGTGGCAAAATAAGTGACGCAGGACTTGGAGTCCTAACTTGAGGTGCAGTCAATGACTTCTTTCCCGACTTGCGAGGCATTTTTGGCATTGGTCCACTTTGTTTCTTAACAGGCCAAGCGCCTCGTCTAAAGCTCTGAACGCATTTAGATTCCTCGAAATCGAGCTCGAAGTCCTCTTGACTAGCCTTTTCCGTGCCATACGCCACGAATATCTCCTCGTCATCAAAAAATTGATCCAAAGAACTAATCTGCTGGCCCGACAGTGAATAAACTTTTCTCACAGCGCCCGAGTCCAATTTCACAGCGTCCGTGATCGCCTCGAGGACATGCTCAAGACTCGGTGCATTCCTTTTGTTCAACAAGAGTCTCACGACCCTCCTTGGCTTGGTGCCATTCCGAATCAAGGTGATAATTTTCGCCTTAACGCAGGCAGGTATTGCACTTATTTGTCTGCCGGTACCAGCCGGTGACTGCGGTAAACCAGATAGGGAACTGCCTCTTCTCACCTTCGACGACGAGTACTCGACTTTCTTGAATAACTCACCCTGGCCGGACACCACGTAGCATTTTCCGTCCTCAAGATCGCCGACAGTCGACACTTTTCTTCCGTCCATTGTGTAAATTGCTCGCACTCCACTCGGCAGAGTGACACTCGAGACGAGGGCTCGCGTCAAATCTGATGCCAGACTGTCAAAACTTCTGTATCTCTCCGGTGTCACGGCCATCACAACACCCGTGTAGAATTTGTCGCCATTGCGAAAAAAGCGAACGCGCTTCGCTTTTTTCGTTGGTGGTGTTCGCAGTGAATTGAGCGAGTGACGAGATGTGATGTCCATTAATCTCTCCTCGAGGGAGGCGACGATCGACGATGCGTGAAGTTCGCCACTTCCAGAGAGATTGCTGTCTCCTGATGGTGAGGTACATCGTCTGATTGGCTCCTCCGTCATCCTGAATTTTAAAAATTCGAATTAGTTCTCGATTTAAATTATTATAAAAATAAACACATGCACACTGATTTTCTATACTTCAAGGTTGCCACAAAAATTTAATTTTTCTTGCCTGATTTCCAGACAACAAGCTTCAAAGTGCCCCTAAAAAGTATTTTTAGGGGAAATAGGGGACTGAAAATTTAAAAATAGGGGACCATAAAAATTAGTTAAATAAAGATAAAAATTAATTTATTTATACAGGGTTGCCACAAAAATTTAACTCTATTTTTCCCTGACTTTTTCCTGATTTTCAAACACAACCTTCACTTTTTTCCTGACCCTAAAGAATATTCTGATTCACTCGAAAAATTATTAGATACTCAAAAAAAAAAGTTCTATTAAATTTATTTACCTACAAATTTCTTCAAAAGTAAAATTATTCGAAAACATCAATAGTTTTACAGGGTTGCCACGGTTTTGCTCATTTCAAATTCCCTGACTTTTCAAGGTTCTCCAGGTTAAAAAACGGAATTTTTCCAGGTTTTTAAAACTAGATTTATATTTAACAAAATTATTAATTTAAACCTTTTTGAAATTAAATATCTTATAAAAAATTGTTATAAAACATGAAAATATCGATAACTCCGAATCTTCAACTCTGATAAAATCATTATTTTATATTATAAGAATATTGTTACTGTAACTTATTCAAAATTCAAAATTTAATTCAATTATTCCTTTCCGGAATTTTTAACTAAAATTCTTCTTTAAATTAATTGTTATTAATTACCTATTATTAATAATTTTTAAAACATTTCTTTCAACATTTTCAAATCCTTTTGTTTACAATTCAATTTTACGAAATTTCATCCATTATTCGGAAATTCTTCAATCAAATATTAGAAAATAAAAACTTCAAATAACTTAAAAAAAAATTCAATTGAACTTTTTCAAAAAAATTAAATCTACACAACAACTTTCAGTTAAAAGTATGAAAAATTCAATTATCTACAATTTTAACTGAAATTCATATTTGAATCAATTATAATCAGAAAATTATACGACAATTCAATTATTTAAATACAAAAATAAGTAATTTATTGAATAATTGAATGTTTCTTAAAATTCAATTCCCATAAAGAATCGTTATCAACAAATTTTCAAATAATTCAATTCTATCAACGAATTTTAATAATATTTTTAAGAATAATTACATTTTTCAAGAAATTCGATTAAAATTGTATTAAAAATAATTGAAATTCAGCAATGAGTTTTATTATTTGTTGAAAATAATTGAATCCCTAAGAAGAATTTTATTATTTTTGAACAATATTTAATTTTTGCGAAGAATATTATTACTCTTGAAAATAATTGAATTTTTGCAATAATTTCTAACTTTTACAAAATTAAATTTTTTTCGTGTTTTTAACTAAATATCTTCCATACATTTATTATTTTTAATAATTTTTGAAAAAGTTCTTTAATATTTATAAAAATAATTGAATCTCTGTGAAAATAAATTGAATATTTTTGAAAATAATGGAATTAATATTGCAAAGAAATTTATAAAAAATTTGTAAATAATTCAATTGCTGTAAAATATTTGTTATTTATAAAAATAATAAAAGGTTTGCTTAGAATATTATCAAAAAAATTTTTTTAATTATTCATTTGTTTTGGACAATTACAATTTTTGAAAATAATTGAATTTTGGAGAAAAATTTTAATATTTATAAAGATAATTGAAATTTTGACTATAATTTTTTCAAACTTTTGATCATAATTAAATTTTTGCGAAGAATTTTATTACTTTTGAAAATAATTGAATTCTTCAGACGAATTTTTTAATAATATTTTATTTTTAAATACCTAATTGAATTCTTTTGTCCAATTTTATTGAAATAGTAGATATTGAAAATAATCAATTATTATTCAATTAAACTTTTTCAAAAAAAAATTAATTCTACAGAATTGTTAGTTAAAAGTACGAAAAATAATAATTTAATTCTACGAGAAATCAATTATTTAAATACAAAAATAAATAATATTGAATGTTTCTCAAAATTTAATTTTTACGAAGAATTGTATTAACAACTTTTAAAAATATTTAATTTCTTTTAAGGAATTTAATTAAAATTTTAATGAAATTTTTTTTAAAGAATTTTATTACAGTAGTTTTTGAAAATAAATGAAAACTTTTTGAAGAATTTTATTAATTTTTTTAAAAATAATTGGATTCCTGAGAAGAATTTAAATAATAATTTTTGAAAACATTTGAATTCATGAGAAGAATTTTTTTTAAATTTTTGAAAATAATTGACTTGTTGAGAAGAATTTTTAAAAAATTTTTGACAGTAATTTATTTATTTATAAAGATAATTTAATTCTTGACGAGAATTTTTAAAAAGTTTTGAAAATAATTTAATTTCTGCAAAGTATTTTATTACTTTTTCAAAAGAATTGAATTCTTGAGATGAATTTTGATATTTATCAAAATAATTGAATTTTGGAAAAGAATTTTATTAAAATTCCTTAGAATAATTGATTTTATGGGAACAACTTTTGCGATTTCGTTGTTTATCAAGCTATTTGAATTCTTTTGCAAAATTATTTAAAATTTTTTGAAAATAATTGATTTTCTGCGGCGAATTAAATGTTATTTATAAAAATATTTGAATTATTGCAACAAATTTTATTGCTTTATTGAATAATTGAATGTTTCTTAAAATTGAATTCTTTCCTCAAGTTTTAATAAAATTTTTAATAATAATTGCATTTTTCAAGGAATTTATTTAAAATTATATTAAAAATATTTGAAATTCTGCGATGAAAATAATTGAATTCGTAAATGAAATTTTATTATTTATGAAAATAATTAAATCTTTTCGTAGAATTGTATCAATAAGTTTTTTCTATAATTAAATCTGTTGATAAATTTTATGAAAATAGTAAATATTGAAAATTATTGAATTGCAAAAAAACAGACTTCATTCATGATAGTTTTGGCTTTATTAATTTTTTATTATCTATTCATTTTCTTTATTATCTCCTTTTTTTCGTCTTTTTCTCTCATTTGCATTTTCAAATAATAATTATATTGTTCCCTAAAAAAGAAAAAAAAATTCCCTAAAGTAGCAATTTTTTCGCTTATCTCAGCTTGAATTGACAAAAAAATGAAGTATTGTAGTATTTTCAAGGTCAAAACTTTTATTCAGTGTAAAAAAATTTACAAGATTCATATCCGCCCATTCTTGATACTCAACCGCGCAGGACTGTGTTACGAATAAATACAAAGACTGTAAAATTTTAATTACTATTTTTTTAATAAATAATTTATAATACAACATAATTATAATTATATAATTAAATAAATAATTTATAAATAAACTATAAAAAATAATTAAATGCCAAAATAAATATATAATGTAATTGTAATTATTATAATTACTTAATAAATATTTTATTAATTTTATTTCTTTATTGTATTAATAATTAATAATTATTTTATAAATTTAACTTATTAAAAAATATCTACGATTTAAAATTAATTCGAAAGCAAATTTAAAAAGAAAACAGTTTTATGTTTTGAATAAACTAAACGAATGTCATTAAAAAATCAATTAATTAAGTACCAAGTAATTATAATATTTAACAATATATAAGCTTGCGTAAATAAAACAATAAAAACGTCAATTACTGTCAGTTTTAAACAATAATACTCCAAACAAATAGTACACTTTCTATTATAATAATGACAGAAGTTTTAATTAATAACCGATTTCTCTAAACAATAGTTGTTAATTAGTCACTTAGGATACAAATTATTAATACGAATTACAATTCCCGAAGAGCTTTATTATAATAAAAAGTGTTACCATAAAATTAAAAATTAGAAATTTTTTATAATTAAAAATATTTGTTTGTAGAATAAATATTATTTGGTTATTAATTTATACAAATTGATTTTTAATGAAAAATTATAATTAATAGAATTTCGTTTTAAATTGAGATGTTTCGAAATTTTTATTCTTTTCTCAATTTGCTGATTGTCAAAAAATTAAAAAAAAGAAAAAGAAAATGAAACTTAATGATTAAACGTCAAATGGAAATAATTTCTAAAATACAGAATTAATAATTTTTAAGTAATAAATAATATTGTAATAAAATAAAGCTATATAATGCGTAAAATTGAAATATTATATTGATATTAATAAATTCGATGTAAATTTATTCAATTTTATTTTATTTATAAACTTCATTTTTATTATTTATTATATTTATTTTGTTAATTTTAATTTTACATATTTCAAATTTCATTTATATAAATTACCATTAATTTTCTAAATTTTAAATTCACGTTTTTACTTTCAATTTATTGGAGTTTGTAATTATTATAATTATTATAATTATTATAATTATTATAATTATTGTATTATTATAATTATTTTAATTGTTCTAATTATTATAATTGATTTATTATTGAAAGTCCAATTTGCAAATCAAATGCACCTTTCAACTTTTTACATAAAAATTCATGATGCTAGTTATATATATAGTAATATCATATACACTAAACAAATTACTTATAAAAATTTATGACAACTGATCAGCAAATTGAGAAAAGAATAAAAATTTCGAAACATCCGAATTTGAAAGAAAAACCTGAACCGTGTATAGAAAGTATAGTTCTATGAAAATTGAGAAATAATTAAATCCGTAAAAGGAAAGTTGCTTTCGTGCAAGAAATTGGAGATTTTATGTCTAAAAAGAGATTGTTGAATGTTAATTAATTTAACCTGCATACCACCATTTAAAAAACAATTGGAAAATAAATGCAAGAGTTAAATTTTTTTTATTTCAGTAAAATACTATATAATTATATTGTATATTCGCAGAATATAACCGGTGATCCTAACCTATCGAATACCATCGAAATTTGCTCCAATATGTATATATACTTGAACATTTAACAAATTGAAAAAAACCCACTTTTCATCTAATCACAAAACTAAACACACTCGTATAAACAAAAATTAAAATTGTAACTTACCTGGCAGACAGCACACGAGATCAACGAACTTTTGTTTGGCCTGCGAACTGAATAAAGGCGAAAAAGCAGAATCAGAGAATGATTCACCAGCGTTCTGGCATTTTCATTCCACACCAAAGACACAGTAGTAGATATTGAAAATGTTTTTTACACCGAGTTACGCCTCCGTTTAACATTCAAGCACTTATTTTTGTTGATGAATTTAAAAATTATTAAAAAAAAGAACGATAAACACCAGACACTGAACGATTGAACGAATCTATAAATACAGAGTTTTTTTCTTGTCAAAGCAGTGGCGGAACCGGAAACTTGGAAAATACGAAGAGGGGAGGAGGAAGAAGAAGTTGAATTCAAAGAGAATGGCAGGCCTCTTCAGACCGTCCATTTTCCAACTGAAAACACTTTTAAAGTTATACTTCAACTCATGACGGCAAATCCATTAGTAACAATTGTTTCCCTTTTACAGTAAAAGTACTCCAAAGCAAAGATTGATCGTTTGCCACCTACTGGAACAATTTTCTAACCTCAAAGTAATCTATAAATTTCATAAATTTTAGAAATTCTTTTTTTTTTCTTTCACATTATAATTTATTCCTACCTATCATTTTTTGACAATTTATCAATATTTTAATGATTTTAAGTTTTATTGGATTGTAAATGCGAACGTGGAAAATAAAAATCGTATTTGAAATTACTTTTTCAATAAGGTCGGTAAGGTAGATTTTTTCTTCATATACAAGTTTACCGACAGATGGCGATAGGGGTTTGAAAAACGTCAGATTCCGACTTTCCGAGTGATACAATAATCAAATAATCAGCTTACTGAAAGCAGTTATAATACTTCGAATGGTAAATTAATAATACACTTTAGGCCGGAAAGGATATTTTTCGAAAAAAATGAATAAATTGGATGATTTTAAAATATGTGTTACTCGATACAGTTAGTAGGAAACATTTCAAACTAATACACAAGTCCTCAGTTAGCCGTGATCGTCTAGTGGTTAGGACCCTACGTTGTGGCCGTAGTAACCCAGGTTCGAATCCTGGTCACGGCAATGTCTTAGATGACATTGTCACGGTTGAGGTATTTTTTTTTCCTTTTTTTTATTTATTATAAATTAATTAACCCCGAAAAACGAAATTTTAATTTTTTTTACTAAAGAAATTTCTTTTTTTTTCTAAGAATTTTTGAATTTTTCACAATATTTTTTTTATTTTCTTTTTCACTATGTGAAAATGGTGAAAATTAAAAAGTCATTTTTCAATTTAGGAGAATTAATTTTTTTCGATAAAAAATTTTGATAGTAATTTGATTTTATATATTTTATGGTATTTAAATTAATTAAACAGTGAACCGAAAGTATCGGTTAAAATTTGTGTCATTAGAAATTAATATTTCTATTCGCGGAGGAAAGGAAATGACTTTCAATGACTAAAAGAGTGGAATTTTCTACGTATCATCATCATCATCACAGGGATCACAGGTGACTAAGTCAGTTAGGAATTCAGTGGGTGGTAGGGAGATGAAGTTGGTTGATACGCACCTGGTGGCGTGGAGTTTTGCCGCGGGAAGGGGCACTGGAAACCGATGGCGATGACTGGGGTCAGGTGGGGGACCAGGGGCCACGCTGAAGCGTTCTCCAGGACAGTAGTTCGGTATGTTTGTGCAGTGAGTGCGGGTGGATGTTGAAGTTTAAAATCAAAAGGTACAAACGCGCCTTTAAATAAAAACCCAAGTGAATTTTAAATGTTTTAATTGGATACAAGGTGTTGTTCGCAAATAATGTGTTGGAAGTGAGTGGAGTGAGAGGAAGTTGTTTCTTCCCTTTGGTTCTTTTTTTTTTAATTAAATTTCCCACGGATTTCCAGTAGAAGTCCGGCCGGAGAAATGCGGACGCTTTACGTTGTCACAGGTGAGCACTCCCCCCTTTATGACCCCCTCTCGATTCTTCTTGACAACTCGCGCGTTCTCCATCATACCTGTAATATTGTGTAAATGCTGTAAATTCACACTGAGAATTTTTTATTTTCTAGTTTTATTCAAAATATGAAAAATGCTAGTTTGTATTAACTGAAATATTCTTTCGCCAGTTGAATACATAAAACTATAAATTATAATATTGTTGACATTTTTATAGGTTAGTTTTTTTTAGTCATTAATGACAAGTTACAATAAAAATTGTTACTTTGTTTATTACTGACATTTTCTTTTGTTTATTTGCAAATAAATTTTAGAACATAATAAATACCAAGTTTGTATTTTTTTTGAAAAAATAGAAAAAACTTAATTTTTCGCATGAAGCAAAAAGTTAGAAAAGATCGGTAATTATTTTTTTTGAAGCAAATCTATAGTAAACTATATTTTTTTATTTTTTGTCTTTTTTTGATAATAATACGATTTACTTTGCAACCTAAATTAACTAGAAAGTTCCCCACAATTCCATTATAATGGCGGAAATACATCATTAATAAATTCCTTATACTTTAGTTTAAGGAATTTCTAATTATTTCTAAATGACATTTCTCCGTTTTGTCAGTAAAATTTGTTGAATATTTAGAATACCATTCGCAGCCAATAATGATCAAATTTGAATAACCCTTCGAACTAAATGCATAATAATCATACATTAATTGCATAATATTGAAATATTAGTATTTTTTTCTTTTGAATATACAAAATATTAAATAAAATAAACAAACTTTGAGAGCAATTAAGGTTTTTTATGTTCAGCATTGAAGAACTAATTATTGTGGAGAATTCGGTCATTATAAGGCAATATAATGAGGCAAATTCATTAGGTTCTGACAAATTTTTCTTGAAATTTCTTTACTGCAATTTATAACTAATTTACGCAAAACAATTTTCGATGGTAATCGTGGTTTAATTACATTGTGAATTTTTATTCTTGTTATTTTCTTTTTCTATTTATATCTTCTGAAAAAAATACAAGTTTGTCATTAGCTTAAAAATTAAAATATTTATTTAATAACTTTTCATTTTATTTTATTACTAAAATAATTGTATTATTTTCATTTTCTGAAAAAATATTAAACTTCTAGAAATCAATATTGAATCAACATAAATCTTTATAACTTCCGATAAACTTTTATCATAAAAATAATACACCTATTTTCTCTTATCACGGATAAAACAATATATATTCAAATTAAATAATTTTGCAATTAAAATAGAATAAAATTTCCATTATTTCTAGAAATGTTTCCCACGCAATAAATAAATTTTTCCTTCGTTTCTCTCGCAGAGAAATAGTTGTTGTTCGGGGTGCTTTTCATGAGTATTTTAGGAGAAAATTTTTCCCACTCTCCTATGGAGCATTATAATCGCAGGTAGAAGATCAGGTGCACTTTGAAACCCATGGAGAGATCTCACCTGTCACGTATTTTTCATTTGAAAACCAGAACTCTGACGGTTCCATGAATTTGAACGGAAAAAAAAATTCTTTTTTTCCTCTCTCTGATTATATACGCCTCTTCTTCTTCTTAGTACATACAGGTCCTAAACAAATTTCCTTTCAATTTATTACTCTTGACAAAAATGCATTTGTTATTTAAACAATGTGAGAATGATTAAATGTTATTTTCTTCTTTTTAGAAAGAAAAAAGAAAAGAAGGAGATATGTAAAGTAAATATGTACATTGCCATTATTATATATCCACGGTGTGTTGAATATTGTGCATTGCAAAATGACAGTTGCTAAAGTTATTACAAAATGAACAAATACTGTTTCATGTTTTGCGCGGATGAGGATTATGGTGTTTAAAAAAAAAATTACAAATCATGATTAATTACTACTTAAATCTGCTTGACGTTCTCAATATAATATTTAATGCTTTTTAAATTAAATTCAAATCGAAAAATTAAATTTTTACTTGCACATTGGCGTCGACGCTAAGCGTCAAAAATTATTTTTTGTATTTAGTCATAAAAATAGCACTAATTTTACTATTTTCTCACTTTGAAATCTGAATCTTTTCATTTAACGGTTTGAACTCAAAATCGAATTGAAACAAAATTGTTTAATTTTTTTGGGGGTTTTGCAAAAAGTAAAAGTTTTTATATACATTTGACTATAATATTAAAAAAAACTGTCACAATTTTTCATGACATTTAGTCCCTACTTTAGTTGATGAATTATAGGTGTATATTTGAATTTTTGTGAATGATTGTCTATATATAGAGGAGACGTAAAACAGATTGTTCACTTGATCAGGAACCCAACAAAGTTCCCATCATATTCGAGAATCAAATTACCATTCACGTGTTACCTAACTTCCATTTCTGCCCACTCCACGGGAGATTCACTGCCATTGAAAAGTCTGATATGATCTAGATTAAAGTTCATTTCGTATTCCGTATAATTATGTCACACTGTTGCCTTTTCTATCGGCTCTCGAATAATTTAAATATAAAACGCTTTACATTATATTTTCATTCGGATGTTCTAGGTCTGTTATTTAAAGTGTTTTGTTTCGCCTACTTTATTATTAATATTATTATTGTTATTATTTATTATATTATTATTATTAGCTTTTATTCTCCCTATATTTGAATTAGTAAAAATGTTTATTAAGAATTCGTGACTGATTTTTTTAACAGTAGGAACTTAGATTTTCGAAAAATTTTAATAATTCAAATTATTCTGAAATTATAGTTAAATTTTTTAATATTGTATATTGAATTAATTATTAAAATAATGGATTTATGGAGGAATTTTGGTTAAAAAGCACTAAAAAAATTGAATTTTGGAAAAGTTACAAATGATTGCAGAAATTTAATTATTTTCAAAAGTAAAAGAATTCTTCGCGGAAAAATTTAATTACTGTTTAGCGGGAACATAAATAATTTGTAAAGAATCAATTAAAATAAATATCGGGTTTGCATTTAAAAATGAAACACAAGGAACTCATTTTACATTAACATATATATTTAATAATCAATTCAATACACTTCGAAAGAAAGAGTCAAGTGAAAAAGATAAAGTAAATTTTAACTGCTGCGAAACTTCAAGTACAACTTTTCGTGTTCGCGGTGGATTTGTGTCTGAATAACAAATTTCCTTACATTGCAATTTTCAGTTTTGGGGGTTGTTACAAAAAATAGTGGGAGTTAAACCTAAGGTGATTGGTTCCTTCCAGATGAGGTGAGAAACATTGACACACCCTTTTTTGGGGTACAGAGAGTCCTTTTGGGAAAACAGTTTATTAGGGTAATTTTATAGAAGGACACAGCAGTAATGATTCCTTAAGCTATAACCATAAAATAAGGTCGAGAATGGTTATTTTAATCCTGCAACCGTCATAAAGCAATTTAAGGAATTTCCAAAAAACATCTTTTCATCGATTTGTTAAACCATTATAGTCCTAAATAAACAAGCATAGTTTACTACTCGGAAAAACCGAACTAGAAGGTAGTCAAAATACTTCATTAAAGACAATTGACAAAAATATAATAATTGTTACGACGTAACATCCTGCCGACTTTGAACGATTGAGTTCAATAAGAAAAAATAAGAGTGATTTTATTTTGAATACAAAATTAAAAAGAGTTCATAGTCTTTTACTGATATAATCAATATAGTTCAATATGCATTATTTTGCAATTCATTCTTGCTCGTAGATTGGAAGTGGATACACTTTGTGGACACTGCGCGTATATTCGCCGAACTTGGTGCGCACTGACACTACACGAATAACTCCATCCTTTCCAGGAAATATTTGCGTGATGCGACCCAATTTCCAGCACATAGGAGGTACATTGGATTCTGAAAGTATTACCATTGTACCAATTTTGATTTTGTCTTGCTTAGACATCCCCTTCCATTTGTTGCGAGATAGCATCTCATTTAGGTACTCCTTGTACCATCTGGACCAGAAATGTTGTCTAAGTTGCTCCACCCTTTGCCAATCTGACAGACGATTGATGTTGATTCCTTCATGAACCCTTTGAGGAAAGCTCGTCAAAGAATCACCAATTAAGAAATGACCGGGAGTCAAGGGAAGCATATCATTTGGGTCAGAGGACATAGGTGTAAGAGGACGAGAGTTTAAAATTGCTTCTATTTCAACAACACATGTTTCTAACTGCTCATAAGTAAGCAGTGTGTTCTCTATTGTTCGAGTTAAATGATATTTCAAAGATTTTACTGAGGCCTCCCACAAACCGCCAAAGTGAGGTGAACTGGGAGGATTAAAAAACCACTTAACCTTGTTTTCTAATAAGAATTGTCGTACTGCATCGCTTTTAATTTCAGTTTCTACAAATTCATAAAGTCTATTCAATTCATTATTAGCACCAACAAAATTTCGACCATTGTCAGAGTGAATTGTTTTTGCTTTTCCTCTGCGTGAGAAAAAACGTTTCAAGCAGCCAAGAAAGGCATCTGTAGTTTCATCGCTAACGACTTCAAAGTGAACAGCTTTTGTAGCGAAGCAAATAAAAACTGCAATGTGAACCTTATCTTTGCCTCGATTTCTGTGACGCCTTTGTTTTACATAAAAAGGCCCACAGTAATCGACACCTACATTGAGAAAGGATCGTTCAAAACTTAAGCGCTTTTCAGGTAAATTGCCCATAATGTGGTCAACTCCGCGGGGTTTCGCTCGAAAACATTTAACGCATTGATGTAATACATGTCGCGTAACATTGCGACCGTCAATAGGCCAAAAGGATTCTCGAACGCCATACAAGGTTGCTTGAACTCCGGCATGTTTTTTGTTAACATGCTCTTCGCGAATGATGAGTTTTGTTAAAAAATTATTCCGCGGTAAAACAATCGGATGTTTCTTTTTGTATGGTATATCTGCTAGTTCAAGCCTACCCCCCACCCTAATTAGTCCGTTATCGAGGAACGGGTTTAAGCTTAATAATTTACTCTTGTTATCGAGTGATTTA